AAATGTTCACCATAAATAAAAGGGATCTTATCTATTCAGAGGATTTGGATTAATCCGCTTAATTCATATGGATTTTTTTTTACTTCTTCATTTGGAAGCATGCAAGTTCAACGAAGTGACAATTTAATTAACAAATTTATTTGTGCCTATAAATGAATGAAAGTCTGTTTGGATGGGAACATACACTGGAATAAAATGCCGGGTTCCACACAATTCCTTCATGTTCACTTAATACAAATAGATTAAATTAATTTAATAATTTTTGTACAAATTTGAGTAGATTGAACATAAAATAATTAAGTTGTCCCTGAAAAAAAACCTTAAGAATTGTGTAGTTTCCACTCATTTTAAATAAGCAGTTCAAAGAAGCAGCAAAATATATATTTGAGTGTATAATGGTGAATGATGACAGAATTTTCATTTTCTGGTGAACCAACCCTTAAAATTGCAGATCTATCATATTTGAATAAAAGGAAAGAAACCTAATTTAAAAATGACTGCAAGTGATATTATAGTGCAGGTGAAAAATTATTAATACTGTAATAGTACACAATGCAATGTCTGAAAACAATGTTGTTGTTTTTTATAATCATACTTTTATCATTGAAATTTTTAGAAAATACAAAACAAAAGAAAACCATTATTTTTACAGACTCTAAATCATGTCTTCAACAGATGGAATCTTCAAAGAGTGATCATGCCTTGATTAAAAATATTTTAACTAAAGTTCACCACCTACAAAACAAATTTTACCATATCATTTTTTAAAGATTATATATATATATATATATATATATATATGAAGATTAGCTCAAATAAGAAAGCATCATTCTAAGGTTGTTGGTTCAATTCCCAAGAGGTTAGCACGTTTGCCTCACAGCAAGAAGGTTGCTGGTTCAAGCCTTGGCTGGGTCAGTTGGCGTTTCTGTGTGGAGTTTGCATGTTCATGTGGGTTCCTCCGAGTGCTCCGGTTTCCCCCACAGTCCAAAGACATGCGGTACAGGTGAATTGGGTAGGCTAAATTGTCCGGAGTGTATGAGTGTAAATTGAGTGTAAAGTCAGCAGCAGGGGTTTCAGCTCAGACTCTTGAGATCGACAGTCAAACAAACCTGAAGCAGAAATAGAGCGTTTGATCCCAGTTGGAGCTAAAGTGGGTCTGGAGGGTTTGCTCGGCAGGTTTCAGACAAAGCTTTATAGTTCTGCTTTTGTGCAGGAGAACTTTTTGGGACAGACACTAATTTGTTCTTTCCACTCGCTGATTTTTCCGCTTGGCAGAAAGACAATGATCGAGACCACAAAGTGAAGATCGCCATTGGCAACGGTGTGCGAGCCGACATCTGGAAAGAGTTCCTGAAGCGTTTTGGACGCATCCACGTGCGGGAGCTGTACGCCGCTACTGAGGGAAACGTCGGCTTCATCAACTACACTGATAAAGTCGGAGTGGTCGGTCGGATCAATATTATCAGCAAGGTATGAGAGATGATTACGTAATGCTTAAACGATATGAGGGAGCAAAGTCAGGTTGACTGCTGCTGTTTTCCCACAGCTGTTCTTCCCCTTTGCCCTCATCAAGTTTGACATTGAGAAAGAAGAGCCGGTGAGGAACGCTGAGGGTTTCTGCATCCCAGTGGAAAGAGGTCAGTTCTGCTTTGATGAAGAATTCAATTCATTGACATTTGTACACCTTTTACAAGTCTCCTAGAGTTAAACATAACAACTTTTTAGAAACCAGCCGATGTCTTGGGGCCTACTCACACTATGCCATCCGTACCGTGCCCAGGCCCGTTTCCCGGATCGTTTGAGAAGTGTGAGTGCGCTGAATCGGGCTCAAGCACGGTTCACTTGGCCGGCCCTGGCCCGGTTGGAAGAGGTGTGCCTGAGCGCGGTACACTTGGGCTTTGGCGCGGTACGCTTGTGTGTGAGCGCGAAACGCGGCAAAGCCCGAAACCGAAAGCGAGACGTGACTTTTAAGGGACTGTTTGATATGGATTTATTAATCATTCTTACTGTTCAGTGATCGCAAACTGCCGTAGTTTATTAAAGACGCAAACTCCTCACAGCATGACAGCTGCGCGCCTTCAGCAGACCTCCTCATTCCTGCAGCAAGAGAGCTTGGATTGTTTATGAGCGCCAAAAGTGCCGGATCTGTTCGGTAAAATATCTGACTGTGTGTCACCGCATCCCTAAGGACTGTTTGGCGAAATATTTGACTGCATGTCACTGCATAACAAACGACTGAAACGATATAACTAGAGAAATCTCCACTGTGCTGCTGAGTGAGAGCGTATGGCAAGCCGTTTTAACATTTAAACCTTGTTCTGACTATCCATAAATATATTTAGAGATATAATTATATATTTTGACAAGTCATTATTATAATTCGACTTGTCAGAATGACAATTAGAGATATCTGCAATTACAATTGTACTAGTACGAAATCAGATTGGAGATATCTGCAAATATATTATGACTAGTCATATTCCTCCATTGACTTCCATTGAAAAATATTTGCAGATATCTCTGAGTTTTGACTCGTCAAAAATCCAATTCAAGATATCTACAACTGTAATTCGACTATTAGTAAATTAATTAGAGATATCTTCAAATATATTTGTAAATATCTCTAAATATTACGAATTAAAGACATCTCCAAATGTATGACTAGTAAAAACTCAGTTAGAGATATCTCTAATTACAATTGTGACTAGTCAAAACTCATTTAGAGATATCTGCAAATATTTTTTAATGGAAGTCAATAGAGGAATATGACTAGTCATAATATATTTGCAGATATCTCCAATCTGATTTCGTACTAGTACAATTGCAATTGTAGATATCTCTAATTGTCATTCTGACTAGTCAAATTATAATTATGACTAGTCAAAATATAATTAGAGATATCTCTAAATATATTTATGGAGTCAGAACAAAGATCTAAATGCTAAAAAGGCTTGCCATAGAGAGCGCTTCTGAACAGCGCAGCAGCGATGACGTAAGCGTGCCGAGGCCCGATATGGTGTGAGCGCGGGCCGTCGGGGGAGACAGGAGGGGGGACAAGCGTGCTTTGGCCCGGTTCGAGGCAACTGTACCTAGTGTGAGTACGGCCTTGTTCTGGCGGGGTCACTATTAGCTTAGCATAATTTATTGAATCAAATTGGACTATTAGCATTTAGTTCCAAAAAAGGATATTTCTTACACCTTTTACAAGTCTCCCTGACTTAAACATAGTAGTAACTTTTTAGAACCCATTAAGCTGATTTCTTGTTTTGGCGGGGGAACTATTAGCTTAGCATAATTCATTGAATCGGATTGGACCATTAGCATTTAGTTCTAGAAATTTATCTATACCTACATCCCGTAATAAAACCGACGGAAAATTACCAGTTACTATTTTAGGTCAATATAGCTCAGGAATCTGCGTCACAGCGAGTTGCGGTTGGCCAAGTTTGTGGACAATGCAGGAGCGCACAATGTAACCAGTGGCAGTAACATTTCACAGTATAATCTTTTGGAAAAACATCTCACAAACACTCGGAATAAAATAGACTAACGTGTATATACCTTTATAAACGCTTTACGTGTCTGAGAGGCTTATAATATGCATTTCAGAAAATTCTGGCTCCAACGAGTTTATCTGTAACTGACAGCGCATCGACGAGCTGCAGCAAGAAAACATCTCCATATATGATGTTCTTCATTGCCTGCAGTATGAGCACTTGCAGTTTATTGCGGATGAGTGAATACAAAGGAATTGTCTGTACACCTCAGAGACAGGATTGTCTCCAGGCACAAGGCTGGGGAAGGTACAGAAAGATTTCTGCTGCTCTGAAAGTTCCAATGAGCACAGCAGCGTCCATCATCCGTAAGTGGAAGATGTTTGGAACCACCAGGACTCTTCCTAGAGCTGGCCGGCCATTTAAGCTGACTGATCGGGGGAGAAGGGCCTTAGTCAGAGAGGTGATCAATAACCTGATGGTCATTCTGTCTAAGGCCCAGCGTTCTTCTGTGGAAAGAGGAGAAACTTAGAGAAGGACAACCATCCGTGCAGCAATCCACCAATCAGGCCTGTATGTAAGAATGGCCAGACGGAAGACACTCCCCGCCTGCAATTTGCCAAAAGGCATCTGAAGGACTCTCAGACCATAAGAAACTAAATTCTCTGCTCTGATGAGACTAAACTTGAACTCTTTGGAGTGTATGCCAGGCGTTACGTTTGGAGAAAACCAGGCAGCGCTCATTACCAGGCTAATACCATCCCTACAGTGAAGCATGGTGGTGGCAGCATCATGCTGTGGGGAGGTTTTTTAGCAGCAGGAACTGGAAGACTAGTCAGGATAGAGGGAAAGATGAATGCAGCAATGTGCAGAGACATCCTGAATGAAAACCTGCTTCACAGTGCTCTTGACCTCAGACTGGGGCGACGGTTCATCTTCCAGCAGGACAATGACCCAAAGCACACCACCAAAATATCAATAGAGTGGATGTACAACAACTCTGTGAATGTGCTTGAGTGGCCAAGCCAGAGCCCAGACCCAAATCCTATTGAACATTTCTCAAGAGATTTGAAAACGGCTGAACACCGTTCCAACCTGATAGAGCTTGAAAGGTACTGCAAAGAGGTATAGGCAAAATTTCCCAAAGACAGGTGTGCCAAGCTTGTGGCATCATATTCAAAAAGACTTGAGGCTGTAATTGCTGCCAAAGGTGCATCAACAATTGAGCAAAGGCTGTGAACACTGCTGTACATGTGATTTTTCTGCTTTTTTTTTTTTATATATATAGATATATATAATTTTGCCACAAAATCCATAAGCCTTTTTTTCACATTGTCATTATGCGGTATTGTGTGTAGAGTTTTGAGAAATAAATGAATTTAACTCATTTTGGAATAAGGCTGTAACATAAAAAAATGTGGAAAAAGTGAAGCGCTATCAATACCTTCCGGATGCACTGTATGATACAAAAAATCAAAAGAGATCAATGTGAATCAGGCTCCCTTGTCCTAAACACCCAAAATGAATTGCATTGCCTACGACACATTCCCGAGCTCTATATTACCAGGAACTACTATATATACTCTGCTAAACTAAGCTAATTGTGACCTCGTCAGAAGAAAATGGTTCAAGTAAAGTGTTTAACTTCTAAAATAAGCTTTTTTTTTATTAAATGTGAAGTGTTCTTTAAGGCATCGTCTCCTAAACAGATGTGCTACAACCACAGACAATTAAAGAGTTGCTTTTTCTCTGCTGAGTGCTTCTAATGGAAATTCAGCTCTTCAGTCAGGCCACTTGGCTTCGAAAAGGGACCTTTGAAGTTCTTATTTGATGTACAATTCATTTTATTGACACTGGCCATCAATAAAGATATGAGCAGTTGTTTGTTTAGGCTGGGATTGAAGCTTTAGAGACTTCCTTTGACCTCGTTTCATAATCATAAAACGTTATTGATTAACCGTAAAGATGTTCAGCTTTAGATCATCCGTTGTTGATGTGGTGTTTGACAGACGAGGTGGGCCTTCTGGTGGGCAAAATCACCAAACATACACCGTTCGTGGGATATGCTGGAAACAAGCAGCAGACGGATAAGAAGAGACTCGCTGACGTGTTTGAGAAAGGAGATCTGTATTTCCACAGTGGAGATCTGCTGAGGATCGACCATCAAAATTTTGTCTACTTTCAGGATCGGGTTGGAGACACGTTCAGGTCAGCAGAGCTTTAGCTGGAGTACATGTGTCGGAGTTTCCAAATGTTGTGTTAACGTTGGTTTTTGCAGGTGGAAAGGAGAAAACGTGGCCACAACTGAAGTGGCAGATATTCTCACCATGGTGGACTGCATCGAGGAGGCCAACGTTTATGGAGTCAAAGTTGAAGGTAAGACTGAAAGATGCTTTGACCTCTAAAAGAAACACTCCCCTTTTTCATTCATTCATTTTCTTGTCGGCTTAGTCCCTTTATTAATCCGGGTTCATCACAGCGGAATGAACCGCCAACTAATCAAGTACATGTTTTACACAGCGGATGCCTTTCCAGCCGCAACCCATCACTGGGAAACACCCATACACACTTCTTTACACACATACACTACAGACAATTTAGCCAACCCAATTCTCCTATACCACATGTCTTTGGACTTGTGGGGGAAACCACATGAACACATGCAAACTCCACACAGAAACGCCAACCGACTCAGCCGAGGCTTGAACCAGTGACCTTCTTGCTGTGAGGCGAACGTGCTACCCAATGAGTGAGGTGTTGCGAACGCCGCCCTCTCTATTCTGCATCCCTATACTGAATTGAAAACATAGCTAATTAGGGTGTAACCTAATAATGTTAGGCTTTGGCTTGATTTTAGAAAGACATCATTGGAAAGAATCATTAGTTAATGTATTAATCAACGTTGTATAAAGGTTATAATTTGATCGAGAGGATCTGACAGAATTCAGTGTTTCCTCTAGGAAACACTTTTTCCAGCTGTGGCGGCAGGCCTTTCCCACAGATCTACCAACTACATATGGCGTTATTTCAATGACAAATCTATTTGCTTGCGCACCGAATTCCTGTTTGTGCAAAAAACGTCTTGCACGCCCTCAAATATACACTGACAAAGCACAGATCTTCTTGTGCGCTCTCTAATAAACACTGCTGAAGTGCGATGTGGTGTGTTTATGTAGTGAGTATGTCTCCAACATTTATTAGATTGGCTAGTAATATTTATGAATGTCTCCAGTAGACCTACAGAGCAGCATTAATGCACCCTGAAGTGAAACGGCTATCAACTCCAGCAAGATAAAGTCAGTATAAGCAGAATCACAGACCTTTATCTATAAATAAATTTTATGGAAACTGTGTTCACCCTAACTGAAAGCTACGTCGTGTTTGCTAGCCTCATGCATCATGTACCTGTCAGTCAGTAGCCCCTTTCACACATACAGACCTTTCCGGAAAATTACCGGCAATTTTCCGGAAAGGTGTGTCTGTGTGAACAGGCTCTTTTTATAAATACCGGTAAATTCGTTCTGGCTATTTTCCGGAAAGAGAAGTTGTAACATTACCGGTAATTTGCCGGAATGCTGCGCTGTGTGAATGCAGAAGGAAGATTGCCGGAAAGAGCGCGTGCACGTCTAGAAAGTGCTGACATGAGACACCTACTTTAGCCAATCAGAACAGTCAGACGCATTCACGTGCGCGCGGTTTATGAGAATAAAAGCCTGTAAATATTTTTCCAGACACATTTAGCTGCTAGATATTAGTCAGATAACGTTTCTATGTTCTTCTTAATGCTAAAGCCTGATTTATACTTCTGTGCGCTGTCTCTGTCGGTCTGCATTAACACTTCCGAAACACTAGTTGGCAGTGAGGTGTAAATGTTCCTCTGTGTCGAGTTTCTTCGCTACTTTTTTGCTTTTCCTGAACACTTCCGGGATGTACAAGTGGCTCAAACTCGTCATTTTGAGGCAGGAACCGGCGGACGTGCAAAAACTTTAACTATGAGGTAAAAACAAAACAAAACTTTCCATCCGGAGCTCCTTCACGGGACTCCACACTTGTAAACAATCGCTCGCGCGGCTCTCAGTCCCGCCCAGACTCGTCAGCGCTACCAAGCCGACCAATCACAGAGCTTACGCTACGCGTCGTTGCGACGTGTAGTTACATTTTTTGAGACGTGCACGTCAGTGACGGCGATGGCCACGGCGAAGGGCTATGCGTCAGCGCCATAGCATACGCCGGTGTTTGATGCAGAAGTATAAATCAGCCTTAACTGTGTAAATAATTATCGATAAAATGTTTATAATAATCCGCTGTTTGTTTACCTTCAAGCTTTGCGTGTGCCCGTGAGCACCCATAGCACCAGCACACACACGTATCATGAACATCTCAACATGCGAAAGTGTTTCTCTATATGTTTTCATCAAAGTTGTTCTCAATACTGATTCATCCGAAGAGTTTGTAATGAAGTCAAATGTTTACAAATTCAAGCGCAGCTGTTTAGATGTCATTTCTGGTTAATGATGTCAGAATTTACCGGCATTTTGCGATGGATGTGTGAATGCTCTTTTCCGGAAAAATTCCGTAACGTCCTCGCCTGTGTGAACAGCGTTTTTTTTAATATACCGGTATCACTGTGTGAAAGGGGCTAGTCAGTCAGCATATCTTAAAGGGTTAAACAAATAACGCACAGCACTACTGCGGTTACAGAAAAGTTTGCGCTGTTATAATTCACTTACCTTTTAATAAGTTTTGGTGCAAATATTACCGCTACTAAAAACAACAACAATGACTGAATGTTTTGAATGAGAAGCTGCCATGTAGCCGTGGAGGGATGAATTTTGCTGTGGCGCCCGCCTGTCCTAAACAGATGTGACGTTATCATTTTTTGTCTGCTGAGTGCTTATAGAAATTTGGGTCATAGAAATTTGGCTTATTCAGTGAAAGTCAAAGTTTGACATGTTTTCTTTGTAGTACACTGAACGATATTAGAACTTTACACTTCATAAACATCAAAACTAATAGGTGCATAATCCTGAAGGGTCTTACCTTATACCAGTGTTTCCAACCCTGTTCCTGAAGGCACACCAACAGTACACATTTTCAACGTCTTCCTAATTAAACACACCTGAATCAACTCATCAGAACAGTAGAAGACACTCCAGAACCTGACATGAATGGGTCAGATAAGGGAGACATCCAAGAGACGTACTGTTGGTGTGCCTCCAGAAACGGGGATGGGAAACACTGCCATATACTTCTGCATATCCTCACTGCATCTCTACTGTGTTCTTCAGGTCATGAAGGAAGGATTGGAATGGCAGCTGTGAAACTGAAGGAGGGCAGAGAGTTCGACTGCGTCTCCACCTGCAGTGTTTTGGCCAACTACCTTCCAGTCTACGCCAGACCTCGATTCATAAGAATTCAGGTACACACACACGCGCACACGCACACACACACACAAACTTATATGCAGGGTTCCCACTTATCCTAAAATGTCGAATAAAAAAAAAAAAAAAACAGGTCGCTGTTGTGCTTATATTTTAATAATAATGCACTATGTACTAATGCACAGGATAGTATATGTATGTAGTGTCGTCCCAAATGGCACACTTTTCCTACTAAGCGGAAATTCAAACCGTTTCCCTGATGACGTTTGACTTTTGCCAAATCAGTGAAATAAACGACCGAATTATCAAATAATACCTATCGTGAGTATTGCCGCATTCACCATCGGGAGGCGCTATAATCACTCTCGTACGAGAATTTTGCTTTCACCATCCAAAATAAATAAAGTTATTCAACATTTTCGCGCGATAGCTCCGCCCCTTCCCCTACAAGAGCAAACCTGCGGCCGTTGAGTGCATCATCCGGGTAATTAAAGTGCTCTAATTATTTTTTTTAGAGTTTTCAGTGTGAACGCACTCCTTACACTATTTATACTACAAAATGGCGTAGAATAGTGCATAAGTATGCGATTTGGGACACAGCTATAGTAATAACATGTATTAAAGTTAATGTTAAAATAAAAAATGTAGAATAACGTTAAAATAAAAAACATAATATTCAATATGGTTTTAGCTTCAACATAATTTTGCATGGCTTAATTAGACACGGCTAACTCTTAGTGTCAGCATGACTGAATTACTTGCTAATCCATAGTTGTAAGTAGTTTTACAAACTTTACATTTGGCTTTCTGTCATCTAATTTTAGCACATGGGTCTCTATTTTAGCAATTAAGCAGTCTAAAGCGCACTGTGCAGGAGCTTTTTAAATACAATTTTGGCTATTTTAATGACGGTAAAATGACAGTCCGCATGTGCAAATTTCATTTAGTTTACGCAGATTTGATTTCAAAAGAATTTCTAAATTCTAATTTCTATTAATAAATTTCAAATTTTCAGTAAACGAAGAACAAAAACAACGAAGTGTGCTCAAAAAGAAAACAAGCTGCTGCTGTATGGGGTCGAATGAGGTCATCATTAACCTGCAGGCTGAATTTTGCTCACGGGGCTGCGAGAAAATAAATAAAAAGAGCAGAGATGCGGCAAAATAATGAATAGAAAGAGTGAGGCTATGATCAAATAAATAAATAAATAAAGGAAAAAAGTGTGACTGCTGAGAGTGCAACCAATCCCTCGCGGCCAAAAAAAACAGATCAGCCCACCAGGAGTTCTCCCGGTCCTCGCAATTAGCCAATCTGGGCCTGTTTGTGCATTTTGCACACATTAATGCGCTCTTTAAGTAATAACAGACGAGTCTTCGCTGAGGCCATCTTCCAGCCTAAACCACGGCGAATGAAGCTCTGCACAAGACTTTTGGCCAGCGGAGAAATTAAAATGGTCGTGCCCAACTGAGTCTGGTTCCCTCAAGGTTTTTTTTCTTCACTCCCATCAGGTGAAGTTTTTTTTCCCTCTCCGCTGTCGCCACTGCCTCGCATGGTTCAGGATTGGTAGAGCTACGCATCGATGAATTTGCTCTTCAGTGTTTGAACTCTCAGTAATGATTAAATCACACTGAACTGAGCTAAACTGAACTGAACTGAACTTAAACACTAAAACCTGAACCACACTGTTCTAGTTACTATGACCATTTATGTGAAGCTGCTTTGACACAATCTACATTGTAAAAGCGCTATACAAATAAAGCTGAACTGAATTGAATTGTTAAATAACTGCACCATCGACTTTAGAGCAGTTGCCTCAATATAGCATCATTTGCTATTTAAACAACATCACTAGTCATTAAAAAGATTCCTGCGTCAGGCTGAAACTAGCAAAAACACACGTGTCGGGTAGAGGCCCCATGTTGAAGTTATCAACACGTACATCATCCTAGCATGTTAGACATAACAATAGATGTGAAACAGCAAGATATGAAAAATACAGCATAGACAAATTACATTTTGATAAATCGACAAAAGTTTTAAGTGACAAACTAAAAGTCCCTGATATCCTGTGACTAGGAAAACAATATATGTACAGTTGAAGTCAGAATTATTAGCCCCCCTGAATTATTAGCCCCCTGTTTATTCCCTCAATTTCTATTCAACAGAGCAGATTTTTTTCAACTCATTTCTAAACACAATAGATTTAATAACTCATCTCTAATAACTGATTTATTTTATCTTTGTCATGATGACAGTAAATAATATTTGACTAGATATTTCTATACACTTCAATACAGGTTAAAGTGACATTTAAAGGCTTAACTAGGTTAATTAGCTTAACTGGGCAGGTTAGGGTAATTAGGCAACTTATTGTATATCGATGGTTTGTTCTGTAGACAATCAAAAAAAATATATAGCTAAAAGGGGCTAATAATTTTGACCCTAAAATGGTGTTTAAAAAATTAAAAACTGCTTTTATTGCAGTCGAAATCAAACAAATAAGACTTTCTCCAGAAGAAAAAATATTATCAGACATACTGTGAACATTTCCTTGCTTCGTTAAACATCATTTAGGAAATATTTAAAAAGAAAAAAAAATGCAAAGGGGGGTGAATAATTCTGACTTCAACTGTATATAACCTGATTTCAATGCCTGAAATCAAACTTTAAAAACTCCAAGATATTCCAGATTTGAATCAATGGGAACCCTGAATATAAACCCAACCCCACAGACCTTTCTAGCAGACACTGTCCTCCTCTTCAGTCTGTGATGAAGCCAAACGTGTCTTGCAGAATTCTCTGGAGGTCACAGGAACCTTCAAGATGATGAAGGTGAAGCTGGTGGAGGAGGGCTTCAATCCAGCGCTGATAGAAGATTCACTGTTCTTCCTGGATTTGACACAGAAGAAGTACATTCCTCTTTCTCAGGACATTTACAACTCGATCATGTCGCAGGACATTAAACTGTAACCAGCCACTAGATAAGCTAACCGCACCGTTTGGAGACCTACTAACCAGTAGCTGCCCACTAATCTCAGGGAAAAGCAGTGATTCCACACAGAGATTTGAGCCTTTACAGAGGAGAACAGTCAAGTGTTTTACAGTTACTACTTTATGCATTCAGTCACGTGTGCCTTATCCATTAACCTCGTTAATAATGGACATTCACCTAATCGTCTGCTAACTTTTAATAAAAAGTTGATGAGAATTTCTTAAGCTTGAGCTGCAGTGATTCTGAACTGGGTCGGCAGAGGAAATGTGGGATCCGAATGAAGCAAACTGAACAGCAAAATAAGCACTTAACCCTCATACTGCATTCAGATCTGCCTGTCTGGACCAGGAAGAGAGACATTCAATGAATAAACAAACTAATAACCAACAAACATTTGGCCATATTCTGAAATTCTGACCCATTTTACCAGAGAAGAGTCATGTAATTGCGATAAATCACTTTCAAAATAAAGGTTTTGACATAAAATAAATCTGTGAGCCGAGTATATCTGTATATAGAAATACAGACATGCACATAGTTGATGAAATATTTAGATATAAAATACTCAAACTCCCAGTCAAAAGTTTGGGGTCAGTTTTTTTTTATTATTTTTATTTAATACTTTAAATAAAATTTTGTTCATCAAGGCAGCATTTATTAAATGTAAAAAATAAATAGTTCAATTGTTAAATATTTATTTATTAAATAATTACTGTATGTCGTTTCAAGTGAAATTATTACTCTAGTCATTGTTGCTTTTATTACTGTTACAATCAACAATAATAATTATAATAATAACAACAAAACATATTAGAGTGATTTCTGAAGGATCATGTGACTGAAGACTGGAGTAATGAAGCGGAAATTAATCAAAATCACTGGAATAAATGATTAAAAAAAATGGTGAACTACTTTTGAGCAGTTATTTAATACTGCAGCAACATTTCACTATTTATACTGTACTGTTGATTAAATAAATGCAGCCTTGTTGAGCAGGAGAAGCTTATTTTAAAACATTTAAAAATCCTACTGACCCCAAACTTTTGACCGCTAGTGTATATGTATGCATGAGTGAGTGTGTGTGTGTGTGTGTGTGTGTGTGTGTGTGTGTATGTATATGTATATATATAATATATATATATAAGCCAAACATTCATTAATTCGCCCACATCTGCAGATCAGATATAACTAGGCTTTAGTCAGTGAAAAATATGAAGTTTATAAAAATAAACTTTTTATAGGTTTAACTGAACCCTGAAAGCAGATTTCATTGCACTTTGAGGGCTAAAATGTACTTCCTGTGCTCTTCGATAACGTCAAAGGCCAATCAAACACTATAGTATTTCAGCCCACATTTATCTGCGACTCAAACACAAGTTAACCTTTAATTACATTTGTCCCAGTGCAATATTTGTCCTCATGACTCAGCGTTTTCTGCTTCACGAGCTGAGAACTCGATCTGCTGACACAATGAGCTGAATAAAGCCGGCGCTGTTTCAGAGCTAATCAGCTGCAGTATCTGTCCAAACTGGGTGAAAGTTCAAAACTCACGACCTCTGAGCTCAAACAAACACTTGCAGAAAGCACAAACCCAACTGAACCAGTTTCCTTCTGTACCAGAAACCACCACGGTCAACGACATCTCTCCACATTTCACAATCCACACGAGGCAATCAATAAAATAAAATAAAGAAACCCTCAGATTGTTCTTATTGAAAAATGAATTTATTTATTAATACAGTTGTATACGTTAGAAATGTGCTGCAAAGAAAACAAAATCATAATGTCGCCACACAAAAAGAAACTAAACGAAACCCGGGATGAAGCCGCGTACGTCGTCATATCAAAACAAAGTGGTACTGATGTGCCTTAATAAACTGTCTATTAGTACAAAAATACATTTCAGGGCACACAATACAGCATCCAGTATCACAAATAAATCAGGGTTCGCCCTCCAAAGCGAGTCCATAAATTATTGAAAGCGAGCACGTCTCTAGTTTGTAAATCATAAAAATGTTCTGGAACGGTTTAAAAATGCCATTAAGTAGTGTGTTCGTTTATATATATTTATATATATACGCGCGTCGTTGGTATAAAAGATAACGTCTTTTTCGTTGCATTTATTATTTACGTTTTTTAGTTTTTGTTTTGTTTTTATTGGTTTAAATCTTCTCCGTACTGCTAAATTCCAAGGCTCAGAAGTATAACCGGAATACAAACATAACCAATGTTAGAGTCTTCCTCTTTTTTTTTTTGTTAAGAAACGTTTTTTTCTTCCCCGTTACGTTTTTTTAATTTTTTTTATACAAAATAACAAAGATGTAGAAAAGTCATTTACAGCGAACCAAGGCCATATGCTAGCACAATATTTACAGCGGTAATTGAAACATATCCTAGTCTTCTGGTATATTCTTTGACTTCATATGCATAGCGGGTGAAAAAGCAGACCTGTTCGTTAGTTGTGTGCTAAATACCGTCCTTCATAACTTCCCTCCGTAACCCAAGTGTGACGTTTGCTTCGGGTCGAAAGTAACAAAAAGAAAATGCAGATAAGGCATCACTGCTTGCAGTGTATGATGGGTAGGTTCGTGTACTCAACTTAGTAGCAGGCGTTTGGACCTGAGTCATAGCACATGCATAGATCTCTAGACAGCAGGAGTTTCGGAAAACCACAGTCAGTGTTTATCTACGGTAAAACATCGCTAGAAAAGATCGCTTCAAAAGGTTGAGAGAAAGAGCCCATTTTTTCTTTTCTTTTCTGGAGTTTTTCATTTTCTTCATAGCCGGAGGGGAAGTCCATGAGCAGACGAGTGCAACAGTCACAGATCTTCCACAAAACAACTCAAGTAAAAATAAAAACATCTTCAATATCCAGAGAGCGACATGCTTTTCATCACGGCGATTCCACATGACCAAACTCACACATACAGCAACTTCTCTGCACATCAAGTACGTCTCACGCAAAACTAATTCATCATCCGTCCGTTTCCCCCCGCGCTTGCGTTCCAGCTTTTTCTAATTATTTTTCCCAGCGTCTGTGGCACAGGTCATGCATCCCATTAGCAGTTCCATTCCTTCATTTATTTACTCATTTATTTATTCAGTAATTTTTTGCAAGTCTTCAAGCACCAAAAGGTAAAGAAAAAGGCAAAACTGAACCCAAAAAAAAAAAAAAAAAGAGGGAGAGAGAGAAAAGGGAATAGGAAAGCGCTCCGCAGCCAGTCACATCCTCCACGTTTTTCTGAGAAAGAGGACAGAAATAATACTTGATAATGCGAGCCTTCAGGAACAGACCAGCTGTTTCTCTCTTCAGAAGTGGTCGATCAGCACAGACACACAGTTTGCGCCCACCAGGTAATTGGGGTCTCCTGGTAGACACTTGTTTTGCCAGCATTTGGGGTCACCTGTGGATACAGCCAGAGCGGGATCATGAGGAACAAAACTACACGCATATCACAGAGTTACACCATGACTTACAGAACACAGACGGTAAAATGGCTTTCAACATTTACTAATTATTTACTCATCCTGAAGATTATGAGTTTCTTCTGTTCAACGCAAAAGAAGATATTTTGAAAATGCTGAAAAACTGTGAGCATGAACTTGGATAGTCGACAAGACTTTTGTCAGGTAGTACTAGGCAAGTTCTAGGAACAGCAAATAATAAGTTGACTTCTAGTTGATCATTTGGTATCAGAAGTGGCTCATATGAAAGACAAAGGCCTCTAGATTATGCAAATTTTACCAAAATATAATATAATCATGCCTTGATTATTAAACGATTTAATTAGGACAGTAAGGTCTGACTTTGCTCAGACAAAAGTCTTGTTACTTAGCAGAAATGATGTCCAGTATAGAATATAAAGTCATGCTGCAGTGAAGACAGAATGAATATTGTGTCTGACTCCATTATGAGCTTGGAGGACTGCATCCATACATCTCTGCAATCACTCAAATCACTGATTAATAAAGTCATCTGGAATGGCAAAGAAAGAGTTCCTGCAGGACTCCCAGAGTTCATCAAGAGCCTTTGGATTCATCTTCAATGCCTCCTCCTTCTTACCCCAGACATGCTCAATAATGTTCATGTCTGGTGATTGGGCTGGCCAATCCTGGAGCACCTTGACCTTCTTTGTTTTCATCAGTTTTGATGTGGAGGCTGAAGTATGAGAAGGAGCGCTCTCCTGCTGAAGAATTATCTGTCTCCTCCTGTGGTTTGTAATGTAATGCGCAGCAAAGATGTCTTGATATCTCAGGCTGTTGATGTTGCCATCTACTCTGCAGATCTCTCGCACTAAATGTAACCCTAAACCCTGATTTTCCCTTCACCAAACTTGACTGATTTCTGTGAGAATCTTGGGTCCATGTGGGTTCCAGCAGGTCTTCTGCAGTATTGTGATGATTGGGATGCAGTTCAACAGATGATTCATCTGACAAATCCACCTTCTGCCACTTTTCCAGATGATCAACTAGAAGTCAAGCTATTATTTGTTGCTCTTACAAGTGAGATCAAAGACAAGACTTTTGTCAGGTAGAGTACTTTTGAAGTCAATGGTTACAGGTTTACAGCATTATTCAAACAATCTTTTTTTGCTGAACAAAATAAATAAAATCAATCAGGTTTTGAACAAGAGGAAATAATGACAGAAATACTTTTTTTGGGTGAACTATCCCTTTAAAATAGTTTAATGATCACAGCACAGCCCCAATATACTTGTACTATAATTAATTTGTCAGCAATACATTTATAATCAGATCAAATTTAACTCCATTTGATCACTTGCTCTTTCATATATTGGATATAATGCAGGTCAGAATATGTTGCCTAGTTTTAAACTAAATACATTCATTACACTCAATGACGATACAGCATCATTTCACCCATATTTACACACTTCACTTAGCTGTGAGAGAGGAAAATAGCTCTGAAATGGGGACTGATGACAATTCTTCCAATTAGGGCTGGTCGATTAATCCAAAAGTCATTGAAATCGACCTATAATCGATCAAATTTTTCCTGGTCCATTTTTTCAATCCCTACTGCATGTGGAGTCACATGACCTTGCTGTTAGGCTGGTTTATACTTCCGTGACCACTTTGCAGTCGCATCTGATCTCTGGTCGAACAGGACAATGGACTCGTTCTTATTTTGCACTTCACTGACGATGATTGAAAGCTGCGCCAGAGATGCCTTTAGACGGCATATTTATTATTACATTAAACTTATTATTGACATTAAAATATTTGTTTTCAGAAAATGCAAGAAATGCAGTGCTTAAAATATGTTACAGGATAAGCAAGAGTTATTTTATCTAGAAGAGATCCTGCTTATTTTCTACTTTTAATATAAAAAACATTGAAAATAATTTATTTTGTTTCCAAAAGTGCAAGTTATTTACGCAGTGTGCGTTTTAATTTCAGTTGTTCGACGATGATGTTCAATAAATAACCATAGATAGTCGATAGTGTGTGTTTCCTTCATTTTAAAGTCAAGTAATGCACGCTGCATTTAAATATCTCACACCTGTAACATGTGAACGTATTTTATATAAAAAACTTGTCCGTGAACTATGAGGGCAAAAAAATGAATGAATAAATAAAATACTCGCATATTAATTGTAAATAGAGTTAAAATGTTAAACGATATATTCATCGCCTAGCACTACTTCCAAGTTAAAATAGAAATATTGGCATTTTTTGGTTTGCATAAAATAATTAAAAGGTGTTTTTACTGCTATTGTTGTGTCTAAAACAATAAAAATTAATATCTCTGAAATTACATATTGATATTTATTTTCAGACACAACAATTAAGGGGTGTAACAGATCACATTTGATCCGTGATGATCATGACCCACATTTCAGCACGCACAAGACCCGAGGACTAGGCCACCTGGTGGTGCAAAGAGAAAACTTATCAGTATTAACCTTTTAGATCGCTTTAATACAATTTGTGTATGATAATAGACATGCACAATATGCGACTTTTAAAAAGCAATAATACATTTATGCAGTCGTAATCATGTTTTGACAGTTAATATGCCGGTGATTTGATGCTCAACAAAAGTTGCAGACGCCTTTACCATATCAAAATGCTTTTGTAAACATCCAGTTATTCTTTACAGCAATTAAAAACCCAGCTAATATAATACTACTATGGCTACTATAACAAGGAAAATCCGCTTTAACTGTAAATTGACACATGAAAGGGCCAAAAATGCAGCCCACAACAAGGTGTAAAGTTATTGTGTATCATATTTAACAAACCGTTTACTACAAATTTGATGAAATTTTGCTCACATGGATAAATGAATATTAATCAGATGATGTCATTACGCTGTTGTGCTGTCAGCCAATCATTGCATTGCTGAGCATGATTTAGAGCAGTGGTCACCAAACTTACTCCTGGAGGGCCGGTGTCCTGCAGATTTTAGCTTCAACCCTAATCAAACACACCTGAACAAGCTAATCAAGGTCTTACGAGGTATACTTGAATCATCCAGGCAGGTGTGTTGAGGCAAGTTGGAGCTAAACCCTGCAGGGACACCGGCCCTCCAGGACCGAGATTGGTGACCCCTGATTTAGAGGATTGATAGATCTGTCCTTCACAACACACGCAGCGATCTCAGATCAGTTCATCCAGACATTCTAATCTGATTAGCGAACTTGTTTGAAGAATCAAGATTAAAAGATCCAGGATCTGCCAAATCATCTTAGATCATTTAAGCAAGCTACTGTATGAAGAATGGACCACTGGAAAAGCCTCCCGGCATCATTCAAGTCACATGTTGGAAGCGTTTTGTCTTCCCGGTCAAATATAATGATGATGGGAAAAGGGTGGTGAACTATAGCTGTGCTTTAACTCCAGAAGAGTAAAGAAATCAACATTTTAGTAGAACAAAAAGTTCCACAGAACAAAAAAAAAAAAAAACTGAAATTAATCTGATTAAAAAAGCTAAATAAATGACCATATTTGTATTTGAAATTTGGAAGAAATGTCATCAAACCTTTAAAAAAAAAAAAAAAAACATTAACATTTCACCCAAACAAAAACCTACCGTAGTAAATCCAGTTGCATAACATGTTAAATAAATGATCTCTCTTATTTTGTTGATGTATATATGTAGTTGAAGCCATATTTTTTTGTTTTTTTCTTACCCTTCAATTCAGTTGTGATGATTATTAGCATGACTGACAACTAAATTTACTCCCAGATAAAATTTCATCAAAAATATCAAAGATGTTCATTTGTTAGCATCCATGAATCTCAATTTCAGTCTTTAAATACCACATCACATGCAGATTTGGTTGTGGTTACTCCCAAAACTTGCATTAATATTATTATTTTTCTTTATTATTTAACATCCGCCATCCTTATTTCTTGTATAATTATGTAATGTTGACCATCACAAAATAAAACATTCTTACACCGAGTCACATTGTAAAGAGAGCTTCTCATTTACGTCTAACAAAAAAAGAAGATAGTTTGAAGAATGTGGGAGTATGAAAGAAAATTTGATTATGAACATGTTTCACAATTTTTACTATTATTAAAAATAACTTCAATGATAAAAGGAAATAAAGGGACATTTTCCACATGCTTTCTTTTCCCCTCTGCTTGACTCTTGTGCTTATTTTACTATGGGTTTTTTTACTTAGGGAAATATAAATATATAATAAATATTTATATAAATATTTGTAAAAAATGTTATCAAGAATTTCAAGACTTCTAAAGTTTTTTAAACACAAATAAAACAGTGAAGTTATGATATATGTTTCTTGATAAAGGGTTAATCATCTGCAGTGATTGAGTCTGCTGATAAGAGGATGAAAAGCTGAGCGAGTCCACAGACTGCACATTTAAAGAGACGGTTCACTCAAAACCATCAAATCTGTCATCATTTACTCATCTCGACTTACTCAAAAGCCAGCTGAGTGTCTTTCTTCAGTTAAACACAAAGGAAGATATTCTGAAGAATATTAAAGAGCCGTTGACCCTCATTGTATTTATTGGTTTTGCCCCCTAATGTGTTTCAGAATATCTTGTTTTGTGTTCAACAGGAGAAAGAAATTCATAAAACATCCCTCTAGTGTGGGGAAATTGTCAGTTTTGGGTGAACTATCCCTTTAAAGCTTCACGCGATCAGAGTGTGACGGTAAGCCAGAAAATGAAACAAAAGCGTGAGCAAAGCCTCTTCCAAACAGCTCCAATCCCGATCCCAAAAGACCCATGAAAGGACAGAGAGAAAGGACAGCGTACCCGACGAGGAGTCGGAGGATTTTAGAGCAAAAGACCAACCATCAGGGGTCATAGACGCACAGTGTGGCAAGCGCAGCTCCACAGGCTTCAGGAACTTCAGGCCGTGAGGACCACACATCACCAGCGGACTCAGCAGAGTTTCACCTGAAAGAGCAAAACATGGCACATCAGTGTCCATCACACATGCATATCACAGCTAACAACATTACAGGCTATTCATCATAGGACCCGTGTTACCACCACCGGGATATGCAAGTTTATTGCAATTAAATCTTGATCTAATCACGACAAACTATATATACTATTAGAAAGATCTTCTGTTTTTAGTTATGTAGGACGGGTAATAGATTAAAACACATTCACTGTTACATTTTTAAGTCATAATATTGTAATCTATAAGCAATTATGACTTACTATATTACAATATTATCATATTTTACCACTTTATTTCATACATAGGAAGAGTTATAGATTAAAAACACATGTATTGTCATGCTACAACCTGTGGGACCATTTACACTTACATTCTTAAACCATAATATTGTAGTCTAAAAGCAATCAGCACTTTTCCAGCACTTGCAAGTCAATTGTCATGACCTAATGTTTCATGTAATGTTTATGTAACAGATATTTGTCAAGCTAATTTTAGATAGTGTAATAGTAATAGTGTAATAGTTGGTTAAACTAGTAATAGTAGGTAAAGTTACTTCTATTGTAAAGCCACAATCGCACAGCACTTCGCTTCATAGACTTCCATTTATAGGAATGTGAATGCAGCAGACCAGAAACTCAAGCACAAGTGTCGCATTTCACTGCATTCAAAAGTTCAAGCTTGGTCAATTCTTACTAGCGAAATTGCCTCACCTGATTGCGTTAGACCAATAGAAGATCATTTGAAATATGGAGCAATGGCCCACTTTTATTAATGTCTGATCATATTGTTTAACGCAGCCCCTTTTCGCAAAGCCGTACAACAGAATTTCACAAGCACAAGCGCTAGTGTGAAAGCAGCTTAAGTCACTTTGGACAAAAACGACTGCTAAATGACTAAATGTAAATGTAATTTCCATGACTTTTTCCGTTTCATATTCATATTCATATTCATATTCTGGAAAATGCCATGTCAGGTTTTCCATGACCGTATGAACCCTGTATATGACTATATTATCATATTTCACCACTATTTTTTGTTACGTAGTAAGAGTTATAGACTAAAAACACATTTACAGTCATGCTACAACCTGTGGGACCATTTACACTTACATTCTTAAAGCATGATATTGTTGTCTAAAAGCAATCATGACTGACTGTATTTCATTTGATAGCTTTATATTGATAGTCCCATATCTGGTGACTGATTTTTGATAGATTACATTTACTGAGTTATTCATTAATTTGCAAAACTAATACAGAATCGTAAAGCATTACTTTGCTACAGCAATCCACATGTAAACATTCTTTAGATGTTTGTAGAGGCTAAATACTAATAAAATACCATCAAACACACCATAGAACTTCAGAATTTTACATCTGCTTTACAAATATTGTCAAGAATCCTCAAATATAGAGTTCATATTCCTCAAAACCCAGGGGGCGCCCTTGCATGGTGTCCAATGGAAACTGGAGGTCATGTGGTGGTCATGTTTGGTACTGCGGTCAAACTAAATCTTACTGAAAGCTTTCTTTTTGTTGATAAATTTGGAATATAATTTGTTCAGATACTTATCTTAGATTTTCTGTCAATTATAGGCTAAAAAGTGTTTCGTAAAATGCATATTTTATGCAATATAATAAAATATACATTAGCTGTTTTATTACTTACACAAAGCCACATTTGTGTATCTGCTTTAAAACGAGACAAAGCTTAAATATATGCACCAACGCATTGAAGATTGGCATTTATTTAAGTTTAACATCATTTTCATGTCTATAATACACTTTCATCAAGCACTAAATTCAGGCAAAACCAAGTGAATCTGTATAAATAATTTCTGCACAGAACTTCTGTTTGTTAGTGTTTACATGCATGCCTCATGTTGTTTCATTTACCTTTTCACTAAAGTATAGTAGTGATCAGATAACTTTTTATTATATATATATTTGCTCATACTAATAAGAGGCCAAAGGTATTATTGCAAATGTTAGTTCCCACGCAATGCTTTTTTTCTTCGTCTCTTTAGCTAGATTTTCATCTTTTTCTAAGGCAGTTTTGTCCAGAAATGCTTTACTTGATGTGCAAAGTGTTAAAAACAAATGAAAAACTTTAGAAACGATGCAATCAGACCTTTCTCCTTATCCAGAGGAGGCAGGATGCTGTTGTCCCGGCACACTTTGAAGTAGATCTCCTGCTCCACACTATCAGGAATGGCTCCCTGTGGGATAATGATGCTGACGCCCGTCTCTATAGAGCTCAACACCCCGCCATTACAGTTAAAGATGCCCCGCGCCGTGGCCACAACTGTGTGTCCCTCATCTTCTTCATCATCATCCAGTGCACTGGGGCTAGAAAACAGACAGCAGACAAGCATTAGTTGTTCTGTAAAATAAAGAAAACAAACAATTAGGCCTGCATGATATAAGAAATAAGAAACATTGCAATTTGTTTTTCTGCGATATGAATATGATATTGAATAGCTCAGTTTAGATTTTGTAGGATAGATAATGTGCATAAGTCAAACAAAAATTGTTTTGCGGTTCGCTGGAATGATTATTACAATATACAGGTACAGAAATAAAATTGTTAAATGTCAATAAATAAAACTGCATAGTCTTCATTGTGTAAAAAAATAATCTTTGTTAAAATGTTATAATTTCTTATACACACTTGAAATTTCATATTCACAGGCCTTAAAAACAAAACAAAACAAATGAAAAAACGTTTACTTTAATAAGGTTAAACTTCACGATGTGGTTCCTGGTCTATTATAATCCCACTCAAATCTGCTAACAGATAAATAAACTTAAACTGAAGTGACCTTGCAGATTCTGCAATGTGGGTCTAAGTACGTTTTTGGTTCAGGGTAAGAAAACGGATAAACCTCTTTAAAATTCATCACACACACGCCAATTTTCCTCTGATTAGTCAACTAAATCTCAGCTTGTGATGTTGCCCTCTAAATAACAGTCCTCTGCGGATCAGCTCCAGGGTTTAAATTATTATTATTTAATTATATATAAGCTAAGTTTACATATTCTATCATTTGAACCACACACAGTTAGCAGGTTTACGTTCATTGCATATGCATAAATAAAAAAACAATAAAAGTTAATTAAATCAATAAAAATGTAAGTTAATAAAAATGTAAATTAGCAGTATTATTAGACATTTGTCATTAAAATAAGGTCATAGTTTGCCACCCAATATCTTGCTTCTATGCTCCTGATGCTGAGCAAAGATGGCCATTTCCAAGAAGCAAGATGTTTGGCAGCAAACTATGACCTAATTTTAATGACAAATGTCTAATAATACTGCTAATTTACATTATTATTTAATTTTTGCATATGCAATAAATGCAAGCCAGCTAATTAAAATTATTAGCCCCTTTAAGCTATTTTTTTCGATAGTCTACAGAACAAACCATCGTTATACAATAACTTGCCTAATTACCCTAACCTGCTTAGTTACCCTAATTAACCTAGTTAGGCATGTAAATGTCACTTTAAGCTGTATAGAAGTGTCTTGAAAAATATCTAGTCAAATATTATTTACTGTCATCATGACAAAGATAAAACAAATCAGTTATTAGAGATGAGTTATTAAAACTATTGTTTAGAAATGTGTTAAGGAAATCCTCTTTCCATTAAACAGAAACAATATATTGTGCACCCCTACAAACAATCCAGACATGCTCGAGGCTACACACTTTATGTATCTAATATTTTTCTATAACATAAAAATTTGGGTGTACTAGTTGCTGGACCATTATCGTACTGTAAGTTATTTAGTTAGATTAGCTTCAGATTTGGCTTCTGTACCGACTAATCAAATATATATGCACAAATATAACATTGTGGTGCTTCCTACTAAAAATATGGAGGTAAAAGATAGATTTGGGGCGAGGCAGTGGCGCAGTAGGTAGTGCTGTCGCCTCACAGCAAGAAAGTTGCTGGTTCGAACCTCGGCTCAGTTGGCGTTTTTGTGTGGAGTTTGCATGTTCTCCCTGCCTTCGCGTGGGCTTCCTCCGGGTGCTCCGGTTTCCCCCACAGTCCAAAGACATGCGGTACAGGTGAATTGGGTAGGCTAAATTGTGCGTAGTGTGTGTGAATGTGTGTGTGGATGTTTCCCAGAGATGGGTTGCGGCTGGAAGGACATGCGCTGCGTAAAAACTTGCTGGATGAGTTGGCGGTTCATTCCGCTGTGGCGACCTCGGATTAATAAAGGGATTAAGCCGACAAGAAAATGAATGAATGAATGAATGAAGATAGATTTGTAAAGAGTGTACTTGTATATGCGGAGCACTGTACATCAACAATTAAACACAATGTACTTAAAGTGTTCATAATGTATTGCAGAGGACTTCTGGTGCTCTTGAAGTGGGGTAGGGTTAGGAACAGTAGGGTTTGGTTAAGTGTGGGTTAAAGTATAAGTGATGGTCAACAATGTAATTACAGAAATAAGTTACAGATGTAATTATGCAGATATTTAATCAATTATAAAAACAATGTAAAAACCTGTATTTCCACAATTAGTACAGTGTAATAAATAATTAATTTTAGAGTAAGTAAATATATTAGTAAAGGCCACAACGTAAAGTGTGACACAAACTTGAAGGTCCTGGAAACTTTAACTCTACGGAGAGTATACACAGTAGGCTATACATGCGTTAAGCGCAATAAGTACACCATACACAGTCAAATTCAGATGTACAGGCTGGCATGAAAAAAGGCAATGGTGCTGATAGGGGAAAAACAATAGCACTAATTCATATGTGATCTACATCATAGGTAAATGGACAATATTAACCATATATGTTGTTTATATTGCTTGATATTGGCATAAAGTAAACATGTGTTGAGTATTTAAAAACAAAATTGTGGATATTATTGAAGTAAAAACCCCAAAATGGAGCAGCTAACTTAAATAAATATGAACAGCACACAAGGATCCTCTTACCTGACTGGGACGGCTTTGGGAATGGCGTTGATGTTGTTGTGCTGATATTTTGGCCTGTTGTCCATGGTGCGAGTGAAGGTGTCGACGCCGCTGTCCGTGTCCTGGGGTTGTGGGGAGATCTGAGGCTTCAGGTTGTTGTTGACACTGGGTTTGGACTGCGTGTCGTTGGGAAGCAGGTTGTGGTTGAATTTCGGACTCTCGAACTTGCGCTCGAAGGGTCGCGCCGAGCTGGTGTAAGGCTTGGGGACGTAGCGGTTGTAGCTGGTCGGCACGCCGAGTGTTTTGGGAGGAGCATCCATGCCATTGATGGTGGACTTGGGGGGCAAGTAGCTGCTCTGGATGGGCTCGTCCCGGGTCGGAGCTCTCAGAGCAGACAGGTCCGGTTTGGCTTTGGGAGAGCTGTGAGGATCTGGCAGAGAGTTCACTGGGAGATAAATGATGATGCATATATTTTATAAAAAACATTGCATTCAGTTTTTGCTACTGTATCAAAATCAAAACATTTATCCTGTAAAGGCATTGATGTAAGAGTTGTAAATTGAATTCATAGGGATTTTATTATTTTACTTACAAAAACAGCATAACAAATATGTGTTAGATATATGTATGATATTACATGTATAAAAATTAACATTAGAAAGTCAAGAAATTTATTCCCAAATACTAAAAGAATATGTGAAATCACTTATGAAACATTTTTTTATATGCAATTAGAGTGAAAATATTGTTTATTAAGGATGTATAAAATGCTATATTTAAGGCCTTTTATTGAAAAGAAGTCTGAAGAAATGTTTTATTTAATTATTTATGGTGTTTAAAATATAGTTTTTTTGTTAAATGTTAGTTAATTATATAATTAAGAATTAAAAATGAATAGTTTTTATTTTTGGTTTTTATTTAGATTTGTGGACTTAAACAGTATAAAATTATACAAAACATCCAATGAGGTTCATGTTTGCAAGGTTAAAAGAATACGTTTTTTTTTTATTTAAATGAAAAAAATAAAACACATATGCAAGTAGTCACTGTAAGAAAAAATAGTTTGTACTATTAGGGGACAAAAGAAAACAAAACACCGAACCAAAACAAAAAACAAACAAAATAAATAAATAAATAAAACACCAAACCAATACAACCAAACCACAAACTAAAACACACAAATCAAAACAAAACAGAAAAACACAAAACCAAAACACAAAACCAAAACACAACAAAACAGAAAAAATTAAATGAATAAATAAACAAATAAATAAAACACCAAACCAAAACACAACAAAACAGAAAACATAAAATAAATAAATAAATAAAACACCAAAACAAAAAATAAAACAAAAATAAATAAATGAATAAATAAAAGACCAAACCAAAAAAAAAACACCAAACCAAACTTAAACACCCAAATGAAAACAAACAGAAAAAATAAACAAACAAAACATAAACAAAACAAACCAAAACAGAAAAAATGAATAAATAAAATGCTAAACCAAAACAAAAAACAAACCAAAAAACAAAACAAAACAACAAAAAAATTAATAAAACACCAAATCAAAACCAAAACAAAAAACAAAACAACAAAAATAAATAAAACAACAGACCACAAAACCAAACAAAACAAAACCAAAACACAACACAACACAACACAACACAACACAAAACAAAACAAAACAAAACAAAACAAAACAAAACAAAACAAAACAAAACAAAAAGTCTCTTGTTACCCTCGATGTTGGTGAGTTTGGGCAGGGATGTGGGCGGAGCGACAGGTGTGTTCTGGCTGTATGGAGCAGGTGAAGGGTTGACTGGCGGCAGAGGCTCGTATCTCTTGTCCACAGGACTCACCTTCTCCACAGACTCCGTCCTGAAGCAGAAACAGTAGATGTGATGCATTCATCAACATCAACACAAACACATGTACAGTATATCCTGTCTGGCCTTTACCTAGCGAAAGGATAAGCGATCTGTGTCTGGGGTGGTTTGGGCGGCTCATGGAAGCGGTTTACTCCAGCGCTGGGTGGATTCATGACCTTACTGTCGAAACTGCGGCGGTCGAAAAATGAGAGCTGTTTTCTGTAGTACTCTTCATCATCATCAGGGTCGTAGTGGTTGGAGCGAACCACATCGTCCCCAACACGCGTCTGAGGTTTCTGCGGCTCTGGAGCTCTACGAAAACAGCAGGAACATCAGCAGAAGATCAAAATGTTATGTAACATCTAATGATGCTTTCCAGAAAGTACGATCAGCCAGCAGAGGGCACTACAGGATTACATGAGCACACTCCACTAACAATACATGACTGATGGGTGAATATGGTGTAGAAGAGTGGGGAGAAAGAGAATGCAACTATATATCACACATTTCAAAACCTTTTGTGGCAATGCAAAGTAACATTTACATCTTTACTACACAGTTCCCATTCTCTAGCTAAATCTCTGAAATGTACATATTTACATGATGTGTGTATTTACATAATGTGTGTGCACTTACTGTGCATAAATATAGTCTACAACGAAATAAAATGTACATAAATAAAATATTTATATTATTTAATATCAAAATATTTACATATTTATATAACTGATATTCTATATAAATATTTAATTTAGAAACATCTTCTCTATATTCATTCATTCATTTTCTTTTCTGTTTAGTCCCTTTATTAATCCAGAGTTGCCACAGCAGAATGAACCACCAACTTATTCACCACATGTTTTTATGCACCCTTCCGGCTGCAACCCATCTCTGGGAAACATCCATACGCACTCATTTACACTCATACACTACTGACAATTTAGCTTACCCAATTCACCTGTACCACATGTCTTTGGACAGTGGGGGAAACCGGAGCACCCGGAGGAAACCCACATACACACACACATACACACACACACACATACATATATATATATATATATATATATATATATATATATATATATATATATATATATATATATATATATATATATATATATATATATATATATATATATATGCACACAGTTGAAATTATTAGCCCCCCTTTTCCTTTTTTTTCTCTTTTTAAAAAAATTATTTTTCAATGATGTTTAACAGAGCAAGGAAATTTTCTCAGTATGTTTGATAATATTTTTTTCTTCTAGAGAAAGTCTTATTTGTTTCATTTCGGCTAGAATAAAAGCAGCTTTTAATTTTTTAAACACCATTTTAAGATCAAAATCATTAGCCCCTTTAAGCTAGATTTTTTTTCTCGATAGTCTACAGAAGAACAAACCATCATTATACAATAACTTGCCTAATTACCCTAACCTGCCTAGTTAACCTAATAAACCTAGTTAAGCCTTTAAATGTCACTTTAAGCTGTATAGAAGTGTCTTGAAAAATATCTAGCCAAATATTATTTACTTTCATCATGGCAAAGATAAAATAAATCAGTTATTAAAAATGACTTATTAAAACTATTATATTAAGAAATGTGTTGAAAAAAATAAACAGGGCCTAATAATTCGGGATATATATATATATAAATAAAAGCAATTCCATGCAAATGTCAACCTTGCCATAAAAAAAATATGAAGTTTTCATCAAAATATCATAACCGTTTCTATGTTTTTTTTTTGTATTTTACAGTACAGTAAAATACTCAAAAATGTCTCTGTCAATATTTTTATACAATTATATTTGATTTACCAAAGTCACGTGAATAGCATATTTACATCAGTCACATCCATAACGCAGAGATGTCACATCTATAACAAAGTTTTTCCCTTATAAATGCAAAATTATTAAATCAAATCAAATCAATGGTGTTTGTTTTATTGAGTCAACTCTTCTCCTTTTTTTAGGTTGTGCAGTTTAATTCACAGAATTTCTACAAAGTGTTTTGTATACTGCAAACTCGCATACTTTTTTGGTCACAAAAAACAACGCATGTTTCTTTTCCTCATTTAAAGTATAAAATATGTTTACAGATTGATATTTTTCCTTTAAGTCTGTGGTCACTTGTATAAATATATAAATTAAGATGCATGCACAGTACACATAAAACCATATATATATATATATATATATATATATATATATATATATATATATATATATATATATATATATATATATATATATATTATGTGAATACAAGAGTATATTTTGGATATGATTAATCACAATTAATCTTTATCATCTTTATCATCAATATTTTGATGCTTTTTACATCTACATTTCTGTTGTGTTTTTTTTTACTTTGGTAAGGATGCATTCAATGGTATAATGTGTACATGTAGAATATATATATAAATGCAAATATATAATAATATATATCAGTTGTTTAATAAATTCTCCTATCTTTGTTTATTTTCACAAGATCTTATGTAAAAATAACCCACATCTTTCATTTATGCACATTTTAAGATTTTATGCACATCCTGCCAATTTCATATCACATTTTTATGCAATATCCTAAAACAATGAATATACATAAACATGGTTGTTGAAAACTGGATTAATGGCTGCTGAAAATTTAGCTTTCATAAACATTATATTTTAAGGTGTATCACTCTAAACAAACAGTTTTTTAAACTGTATTTTTGGAAAATGCAGCCTTTCTGAGCATAAGACATGTTCTCAAACATTACTATGAGTGTGTGTTTTACCTGTAGGAGGGTTTGTCCTGCTCCAGGTTGCTGAGAGAGTTGGCTTTGAGCACAGGTCCAGGGGTGCTCGCAGGTTTGGGGAGATCTGTGGGCTAAAGAACAAAGAGCATCCACACTTTGAACACGATGCATCGGGGTATTCTCTGACGTGTGTCTCCTCTGAGCAATCATCACTACAAGTTGTTTTTTTAAACGCCTCTTTTATACTTGTTCAGATGTTACCCTTGATGTATTGTGTAATGTTTCTGAATGTAAAAGGCTTGCAATGCTTCAAACATTACAATCCTAATTTGGACAAGACTATGCATTTTTCCAGGGGGTTGTTAGAAAAATTAGTCTTATGTCATGCCCAGTGCCGTAATTGTTCCTCAGCTAAACATTTTCTTTTCCTAGCAAACTATACATCAATGGAAAATAGATTTATTCAGCCTTTAAGGAGAAAGCTCAATTTAAAAGAAATTGCCACTTATGAATGGTTTTGTGGTCCAGGTTCACATATGGTATTTAGTTTCCAACACCTGCTGCAAGTTATTGACCGATCACACCCGACTAGGCCATCCGACCAATCAGTGGATAAAACTCTAATAAAAGGCGGGCCTTAAAGAAATTGGATCCTTGTTTCAGACACTGCGAAAAAGAGCTGATGCTGCAGTATACAAGAAATAAAAAAATTACCTTAAAGTCAATATGAAATAAAAATTCTCTTCTTATTTTTATTTATATAGTAGTTCTTGTGTTAAACGATGCATCTGTGTGCCTATTTTGTAAAAATCAACTTGCCCACATGAAATTTAATCAAATACAATAACCTACCCTCCCCTTCAAAATTACTTTCTCCACTTCATGGTCATATGGAATGTCTTTACGGCGGGGCTATGAGTCATTTAGGGCAGGGCTAATAGTCATTTAGAGCAGGGCTATAAGTCATATAGGGTTGGGCTATCAGTCATTTAGGGAGGAGCTATTTATCATTTAGGGAGGGGCTATCAGTGCTTTAGAAAAGTGCTATCAGTCATTAAGGGAGGGGTTATCAGTCATTTAGGGAGGGGCTATCAGTCATTTAGGGAGGAGCTATTTATCATTTAGGGAGGGGCCATTAGTGCTCTAAAAAATTGCTATCAGTCATTAAGGGAGGGGTTATCAGTCATTTAGGGAGGGGCTATCAGTTATTTATGTTGGGCAGGGCTATCAGTCATTTAGGATGGGGCTATCAGTCCTTTAGGGTGGGACTATTAGTCATTTAGGGCGGGGCTATCAGTCATTTAGGGTGGGGCTGTCAGTCATTTAGGGCGGGGCTATCAGTTCTTCAGGATGGAGTTATCAGTCATTTAGGGAAGGACTATCAGTAATTTAGGGCGGGGCTATCCGTCCTTTAGGGTGGGGCTATCAGTCATTTAGGGCGGGGCTATCAGTCCTTTAGGGCGGGATTATCAGTCATTTAGGGCAGGACTATCAGTCATTTAGGGCGGGGCTATCAGTCATTTAGGGCGAGGCTATCAGTCATTTAGGGCGGGGCTATCAGTCATTTAGGGCGAGGCTATCAGTCATTTAGGGCAAGGCTAATGTTAAGTTTTTACTCTGAACTCGTCAATCTTCGTTCAGTTTTTTAGCAATGTCTGTCTTCCAACAATCCAATTGGTTTCCAAGGAATGAAATCATGCACCACATTTTTTTCTAATTTCAGGACTGTTTGAAGTGAATGTACATGTTGAGGACAATCTTCCATTTCATGGCGACTTTAAAATAAAAAATAGAAAATTAGCAACCTTACAAAAAATAATTATCACATATTAGGGGCATTTCAATGAATTTAAAATGAACATACCCTAATTCCAGTGACGTCAGGTGCGTCCTTGGCTCGGTCTACCGACACAGAGCGTTTGTTTTCGAACATTTTGACCCTGTTGAGCACAGACTGGGGCTTCATGGCAGGGTCATCATCATCGTCATCATCATCGTCATCATCTCTGGGAGGAGGCGGCAATGGTTTGGAAGCTGCAGAATGGGGCGGTTCTCCTGGAGACAGGACAGATTCAGGTTTGGGAGGCGGTACAGGAGGCTCAGAGTTCACCGGCTCATGTTTGTACACTCTGTTCGGAGGTCCAGGGTTGTACAAGGGCCTCATAGCGGCGTCTCCATAATACTGTTTCGGTGGGTCTGGCGAGCGATGTGTGTTGCCTGGGAAAGCATGCGGCTCGGGTTCGAAAGGTGACCGTGCATCGTAGGACACCGGAGGAGGTGGAGGTGGAGGCTCTTCATATCGGACCGGTGCAGGTTTGGGGTGCCGCGGCCGGTGATCGTAGCCCATTGGGGACACACCGTCATACTGGGACTGAGGAGGGCTGAAATCCCTGTTAGGTCCGTCCTCGTATGGGGAGCGTGGCTCATATCCCATCGGTGGTGGAGGCGGAGGCTGGTGGCCCTGAGGGAAGCCGGACGCAGGTGGCGGCTGGGGGGAAGTCTGCTGCTGCTGCTGCTGGTCGTACGTGGGCCACTGCTCGTTATAGTGAGGCACACGGTTGTCGTAGTGCAGGTGCGGGTCGTAGTTGTGAGGCTTTGGTTGTGCGTAGCCGCCACCGTCATAGCCATAAGGCGGGTGGTCGTACTGGCGGTATGGCTGTTGGTCCTGGTAGACAGGCTGGTGGCTGTAGGAGAGCGAGGTTGGGGGGCCTAAAGGCTGCTGCTGCTGCTGGGGAGGGGGAGGCTTCACGCCGTGGGTCACTCGCACCGGCTCGTCCATGCTGTACAGATCCTTTTTATACATCTGTCAGGGACAAAACATCAGCAGTGAGAGACTGATAGTTGGAGGAGTTCAAACTGCACACAAAAGTTTAACACAAGGCTGAGATAGGGTTTGATAATAAAAATAACTACAATGAATTATAGATGTACTAGGTTTGTGTTTCCTTATGGAAAATTAGTGTTTGCAAGGCAGCAAAGGAAGTGTTCAAACTTTGAGAGCTGTGCAAATAAACTCATCAAAAAGCCATTATTTTTGTGGAAGTCATTTTTTAGAGAGACACCGGTACATTATTTTACCCCCCTATTTTTGGCCTTCATATTTTAACAGTTAATCTGAAAAATAAAGTCATTAAAGTGGACATTTAATATGCTTTCTATTGTTAAATACAAACATGACTTAGGAAAATTCCCAGTTTCTCAGGATTTACAATTAGTTTTGAATTAGAATATAGTTCAACCTAACGTTTAAAATTGCAAATCATTCAAAATATAAGTATTGTAATTTAGAGTATAAAATGATAATCAGTAAAAATAACAAGTATGCCATCTGTTCAGGCAAGTTTATATTCATTTTAAATGCGACACAATACCAGTGTTCTACTATCAGAAGCAGATATGTCCAAACTCGGTCCTGGAGGGCCGGTGTCCTGCAAAGTTTAGTTCCAACCCCAATCAGACACACCTGGGCTAGTTAATCAAGCTCTTACGAGGCTTTCTAAAAACATCTTTGCAGGTGTGTTGAGGCAAGTTGGAGCTCAAATCTGCAGGACACCGGCCCTCCAGGACTGAGTTTGGACACCCCTGATCAGAAGGGTTAAGAAATCAATTTTTAGAGTAATAATCACAAAAGCATTTGTTATTCTGACCAATTGTCATTTTCAGAAAAACAAAAGCTCTAAAATGACAATATTTTCTTTTACAGAACAAATAAAATACCTTCCATTATATGGAAAAAATGTTAGAATAAAACAACTTTAACATTTTACTCACACCTAAAAAAAAAAAAATCCAGAAAAAATGAGAATTTTCCAAAGCTCTATGTATATGCATATAAAGTTCTAAACAAAATATGAATATTTAAATGTTTGATACTAAAGTGTAACAGATCATTGTCGATCCGTGATTCGTACAGATCACAACCCACGGTTCAGAACACAGGTGACACGCAGATTAATACATTTGTTTACTTATCCTATCCTAAATGATTAATCCTAAATTTGTAAAATCACCTCTCACATCACTCAAATCACTTGTACAAAAGCATTTAGGCTTTCCCGTAAAATATATTGATGATGGAAAAAGTTGTGGTAGGTTGTTGGAAATGTAGTGGGTTTCTAAAGTTATTAAAAGTGTTTTCTGTCACTACTTGTTTAGCCTGCATGAATGCATTCAGTGTAAGCTGCAGATTTGATCATTAAATGATCGGGATCTCAACAACCACGCAACATAAATGATGGGGATCTGCATTTATTAATCTTTTGAATCGCTGCATTCAAATCTGTGTTTGAAAAAATGCAAAAATCAAGAAAGAGATTGAGTCTTTAATTTGCAGTCAAATAACATAAAATTCTGAGAGAACAGTTTATAGTTTAGATAAATCCACTGATGTTTATGGTAATGATTAAAATAACCGTCATATGCATTTAACTTGACGCTCAAAAGTGAAAGTTGTAGGCTGCACTTACATTATTTAAACAATAGGTGACAACCAGCCATCAAAAATTGCCACTGAATAATTTTTCATCGACACATCTAGCAATAAAACATGAATCTTTATGAGTGAATAACCGAATCATTTATTGAAAATGAGACTAAAAATAAATAAGGGTTGTACAAATTAAAATGTTAGATTTCTATATTTAGCGTTATCAGCAACATTAGTAGTGACATTGAATTTTTCACAGTACTGAATATTTTACAACTTATTTTTATTCAGCTGATTATTTCTTTATTTTATTTTTATAAAACTACAGGCTCTGCAAGTTCTGTTGGTTAAAACCAAGTTTCTAGCAATGTTTTGTAATAAATTTAGCAAATTACATTTGTCTCCTCCCCCTTTTGGCTGATTCGAAAAATAGTCTGATACGAGACAAAATAAATATATGATCCAAACCGTGAGATTCGTGACCCGTTAAACCACAATATGACACATACAAGCAGTGCTGCCTTGTAAGCACTGAAATAAAACTTACTCTTGATCAGAAAAAAAGATCTATAACAGATTCAATCATTATGCAATAAAAACAAGCATCTTATCAGTTTACTACTCAGCTCTACAGTTCTACAGTTTGATTAGAAGCCCTTCTTCACTTAGTTTCTTTAGTTAAATGTGATAAATTTATAACAGGGCCAAGTGAAGCCTTAAAAGATGTCTCATTCATGTCGTGAAAGGCTCCTTATCAAGCTTCAAAGTATGACCTGAAGACAGTAGAGCTGTAAAAGGTCCAATGCCTCCTATAAGACAGATTAAACATTAAACATCGCAAAAAGCTCTTGCATAACGTCTTCATCTGGACAAAGGAAGGTTGGTTATGAAGACATTATGCAGGATTAGTCCAGTGGTTTTCCTTTTACATTGCTGTAAGTACTGTCTGCAGGTTAAATGATCATGCAACTACAGAAGTCCATACTTGCAAATCAGGGAAAGGTCCGTTTGCAATTTAGTGGCAGGTCTACAGTGCATCTAGAGCCGTCCGTACAGGAGTGATTCAGGTCAAAGCCAAACGCTACACTTACGGCTATCGCTACAGATTAGGGCCAGGCGATATAGTTAAACTGACAAACAAAAATAAATAAATGTATTTGTCTTTTGGTGATGTTGGCTAACATAAGATTTACGCATTCTCTCTCAAACAGAAGAATCATTAGGTAAACCCCAAAACAAAAAAAGTAAGTTTCAAATAGCTTTTCACTAAATGAATAATAATAACAATTACAGCAGGGGAAATAATTATTGAATGGGTCATGTTTTTTCCTGGGAAAAATATTTCTAAAGGAGCTGTTGACATGGAATTGAACCAGATTTTGCTAAAAACCCAAACAATACAAACATTAAAAAAACAGATCTGAAAAACGAGTTCTGTGACACAAGGAGAAAGTCCTGAACTACTGATACATGCATTGCTCAGGCATGATTTGTCTCAAAGACTTCAACAGAGTGTTGAAATCTTGATGGTTCTTTGGGTCTTGTCTATCAAATCTGATTTTTGTTTTGTGTTTTCTATTGGATTTACCTCAGGTGATTGGTTGGGCCATTCTACAGCTTTATTTTCTTTCTCTGTAAGCATAAGAGAGTTTCCTTGGCTGTGTTTTGGATCAGTGTCTTGCTGAAAAGTCCACCCTGGTTTAATCTTTATCCTTCTGCTAATGTAGATGTTGGACTAGAGCAACTAATATTAATTTACACTGAGGAAGGGCAGAGGGTTGCTGAAGAACTACTGGGAGATTTCAGCTGCTGTCTGGGCGTTCTCTGCCTTTTTACACCTTCCTTTCTTCATGTGTTCAATCCTTTTTTGCATCATTGCATTTTATCACGCAGAACTTCATTTGTAAACTAATTTGATTTGTTTTCTTTGCATATATGAATTTCTTTGGTTGCTCTTCCATTTCAAGTCAACGACACTTTTAGAAATAGATCCCTTATCATGGTGGGCATATCCCTTATTTTCACATCCCAATGTTGACAGGTATGAATTTGTGTCACAGCGAAATCCAGTGGGAAGGGCTCATCTCTATACCCTAATACCTACAAATCGGTCACTCTGGAGAGTAAACCCTCCAAGTGGATTAGGGCATAGAGAGCCCTTCCTAATGCAAAGCATTGTATGTTTGCGTGTGCGCATGTGTGTAGTGTTTCTTTCCCAAGTAAGACTGACACCTACTGGACTGACTTGAAGAATAAAGCTTCTTTAGCAGATATTTTTGACAACTCTCATGTTTGTAAAAAATGGGGGGGTCTGACATTAGTTATTAGTTCAAAATAAAGTCGAGCTTCTAAGAATTTTGGAAAACTGCGAAAGACCAAAATAAATAAGCTGCTTGATTTGAAAGTAGGCGATTAACGAATCCTATTTACACAAAAACATTGTATTTCCGCATTGACAGAATTTCGTCGATAGAATATATATCGATCAATGTTTTGGCGACGCATCGGTAAAATCAATCAATTCAAATGAACAAAGCTGCATCTTTCCGCAAATATTTCAAAAACCTTCAATACATCGCCCAGCCCTACTACAGACAGAACAAGCTGAAAGAAATGTCAGAAATTAGGAGCCATGCAAGAGGAAGTACATGTGAGGAGACTGCACTTCTACTAAATAATGCAACGGGGCCGGGTCATCCTGTGGTGCATGTGTGCCAGTTACACAGTCAGAGGAACACACACGCAGCACACGCGTGGGGTGGGCGGAGCATTCATGCAGACAGTGGAGTGTGAGGAGTCAAAGAAAAGAGTGACAGACGCAGGCAGAGTTGAGAAAGAGACCGGGCCGTGAGCGGGTCCAGCGTCCGGCTGTGCTGCTGCTGGTACCTTTGGATCTGGGCCAGGAGGAAGCGACTGGTGGGGGTCGTGTGTTGGGGGCTGAGCGAGCTCAGGTTCGGGCTGGGGGTCGGGAACAGGGACGGGGCTGTTAAGGGAGTCGGCCTGAGGGGTGCCAGGCGGCTCCTCGGGGTTCGTACCCGCTAGTGTTGCGGTGGGCTGGACCGCTGCAGAGGGAGGGGGCGGCGAGGCCAGAGCAGCCTCAGCTTGCTGTGGAGGACGGGGCAAAGAGGTTACAGACACACGCTGCCAAAAGCACAGCTACAAACTAGCAGCTACAACCATCCGTCACCAGCTTAACTGGTTAGCACTGAAACCAAAGAACAGCATCTGCTCATAACACAGTAAGTGTGTATCAGAATAACACTGTGATTTTAGCTTTACAGACCTGCTACAAATGCAGTCACTACTGGGGCAGAAAATGAAGCTTTATATTGCAGATAACGTCCCAAAGGAAGGAAAACAGGTGTTTTGTTGTAGTATATGGGTCATTTTCTACTGTGCAGCACTTTTTCATGTTTTAATTATGCAGTTTAATTACATGAGATAGCACCCTGAACTCAAAACATAAGGAAATTAACTTAAGAATCGCCATATTAAACTGAAAACCTACAAATTTTGCACTAATATTGAACATTTCTTCATTAAAATGTGTTGTACCAGGGTATACTGCTGCATATATGTATATGCAGAAATCCTAAAGATAATTTCAATACATTTTTAAGACTTTTTAAAGACCTTCTCAGAATATTTTAAGACCTCATCGCCACTTGGAGTTCTAATCAGTATCACACCTTTAACTTAATAAACAGTTATAGTTAAATAAATAAGTGGAGCACAACCATGCAACAGAACTCAGATAAGCTTGGAAGAAACAAAGCTTGAAATAAGAAATTACGTAGGTGTGTTCAGCGACAGGCTTCAGCTACTGTTTAAACTCGTCTTTCTTTATCCAGGAGTACGCAAACTTGCATTTTCCCATTTCGCCGTCTATTTTGCTCTATGGCTTCGCTACACGCTGAGAGCGTCACATCACCTTCCTGCATTTGCCGCAAATTACGTGAGATCACCCGGATAGAGGAGCTTGGCCGGACACGTCCCGCCCCCGAACCAATCACGTCGATCAAGCATGCTATTGCTAATATCAGGAGGAAAAAATATATACTTATGCTTTTTTTGAAGTCAAACACTTTGGACAACGCTTGAACAAAATTTAAGACCTCATAAACACAAGATTAAGGCCTTAATTTTCTCATAATTAATTTATCAACTTTTAATACTTTTTAAGAACCCGCAGACACCCTGTGTACTACTGTATAACAGCTAAAGGGGAGCATTTTAAAAATGTCTTATCATCTTAGCCAGCAGGAGATGTATTTATATTAAATGGTTTGATTTTTATTCTTATTATTTTTAAACCAAACACAATCATGTTTTATTAGGAACATTGTTTTTCCTACGTTTACTTTTCATCCTGCAAGTCTCCTGTTTATACTAAGAACAAACAACAAAGCCCTTAAGACGAGCTTCATCCCTTTATATAACAAAAGCCAATTTCTTAATGACATCCTCCATGATCCTGCGGGAAGTGACAACAGCACAAGCACCAGCAACTATGAGCAACATGTACTTTTGTGAAGTTCTGTGGTATAAACTAGTCCAAATATTCTGTCTTGTATGATTAAATAACAGATAAAAAAAACAATATTAAATAGTTATATATTTTATCTTAAAATAGTTGACCTAATTAACCTAGTTAAACCTTTAAATGTCACTTTAAGCTGTAAAGAAGTGTCTTGAAAATATTATTTACTGTCATCATGGCAAAGATAAAATAAATCAGTTTATAGAAATGAGTTATTAAAACTATTATGTCTTTGATTGTGGGTGATTGGATGGATGCTGGACTGATTCGGTAGCTTTACTTAGATAAAGGAAAATTAAGACCCGTTTAAAAATGTTTTAAGACCTACAACACAATATTTCAGTGAATTTAAGACTTTTAAAGGTCTAAAACTTTTGAAATTTAGGACATTTTAAGACCCAGTGGAGTTCAAGGTTAAAGCTCTGCACAGTAGATTTGACCACCGTTATGCTAAGATGTCAATAAAAGTCTTAATGAAAGCAAGCACACATAACCCTAACTCCTAATCATTACCTGCTGCGGCGCTGCCATCTTAAACCCGGCCGGGTCAATGCGGCTCACCGCTTCAGGTTGCGGTACCGCATGCTGGTAGCTGGGGTATCCAGCTGCGTCCTGAATGACTGGCGGGTCCTCTCGCACAGGCTCAGATGAGCGTGTGATGGCAGGCTCGCTAGGCAGGCCCACCTCATCGTTCATGGTCTCGTCCAGCTCCTGGTCGGTGTAGGCACCACCCTCCGTGTCGGTGTCCTCATAGTCGGACGTGTGGCGGCTGTCGGTGCTGTACATGCTGTACTCGCTGCCCGGAGCCGAGAGGTAGGAGAGGCGGTCGTCATGGATGTCAAGGTCATCGTCAGGAGCGCCGTCGGCCTGCAGGCAGAGATGGGGAGGGAGGGATGTTAGGATGAGTTTGATGACCCACAGCAGTGGAAATGAAATGATGGATGGATGAGAGTGGAAACTAATGCAAATCAAACGCAATCCAGGGAATGATTAACTCATAAACATGGCAGATTTAAAATATTATTTCATGGATATTTATAAAAAAAAAAATAAGTTTAACAGTTAATAAAGTTAAATTAAGTTTAACGGTTATTTGTCGATGTTAAGACTTTAAAATTAATTGAACTGAACATGTATTCTTCAAATATTTCCCAAATGGCTTTTAACAGAGCAGGAAATTTTTCACAGTAATTCCTAAAATATTTTTTCTTCTGGAGAAAGTCTTATTTGTTTTATTTCGGCTAGAAAAAAAAGCAGTTTTTAATTTTGTTATTTTATTTATTTATTTGTAACATTTTAAGGTCAAAATCATTAGCCCCCTTAAGCAATATATTTTTCGATTGTCTACAGAACAAACCATCCTTTTACAATGACTTGCCTAATTACCCTAACCTGCCTTATTAACCTAGTTTAGCCTTTAAATGTCACTTAAAGCTGAATAAAAATCTTGAAAAACATCCAGTCAAATATTATTTATTGTCATCATGGCAAAGAGTTATTAGAAATTAGTTATTAAAACTATTATGGTAAAAAGTCTTCTTCATACATACAGGGGTCTAAGAATTCAGGAGGGCTAATTATTCTGACTTCAACTCTAAATCTCTAGTTATACTCATAATTACATTATCAGTTACATAATTATTATATAATGAATTTAAAAAAATGCACTAATTATATTAGAAAGGCAAACACGTCGTCGGCGCCAGTGGTGTAGTGGTTAGTGCGTCGACACATGCACTTTGGTGCTCAAGGCGACCCGAATTCGATTCCACCTCGCGGTCCTATGCCGATCCTTCCCCTCTCTCTGCTCCCAATACTTTCCTGTCAATTCTCTCTACTTTCCTATCCAATTAAAGGTGAAAACCCTGACAGAATAATTATTAAAAAAAAGAAAGGCAAACACGTCTAACACTTATAAAACAGAAAAACTGAAAGCTAATAGTAAAAATAATAATAATAATGGCAAAAGATTTGCCATTTGGAAATGGCATGAGCCATGGTGATGTTTATAGACTGACCATTAACAAAATTATAGTTACACAATTAATATTTATTTGTGCACTAGTATTTACTAAAATCCGGTTTTCAATAATTTAAAGCCAAACAGGAAAAGTGATGCAGATAATTACAAAACAGTGAACAATCAGCAGATTATAGGCCAACCACTAAATACAATTATTTTCTCAGATGACGCCATTTTCAGTAAGTCAAAATAACCAACACTTTTGAGCTAAACTGGAAAATTATTATACCGATAATTTAAAAAAACATTACAAATCTTTGGTGACTTATTATAATTAAAACCACTATTTATACACTTTTTTTAGGCACAGGTATTTTAAGAACTGTTAAAACTTCTGACAATTATTGGCCAAACAAAATGACAATTTACATAAACCATAATTATATATATAAAAAAAAACTGACTGACATCGAGATAGCAATAATTACAATTACATTTGATCCAATTATAGAGTCTAACTATAGAAAGATACTTAAATCCCAACTGACGAACCAGACACAAGCATTTCTGGCAGCAGTGTAATAATGCAAAACTGTGCCTGAACTAAAAGAGTTGCTGGTGCCTTAGCTAAAGTGTTTGGGACAAGAAGCTCCAGACAAAGCGGCAACAAATCTGTGAAATAGGTCACAGAATAGCTGTAAAGAAACTTACCTTGCCCTCTGAGACCCAGACCAACTGGTTCTGCTGCTGCTGGATGCTCTCTTTCAAAGCACCGTACCACCCGTCATTCATGTTGTTCAAGTTAATAGTGGCTAAAAGGAAGTAGAGTAGCAATAATTATGGAAGCAGATCACAACATTACGCAAAATGCAAAAATTAATCACTTAATCACTTTAAGAGGTGAAAACCTGAATTAAAGCACTTTAAAGTGATGTTCACACAAAGGACGATAGCTTAACATTCATATATATATATTTATATATATATATATATATATATATATATATATATATATATATATATTTATATATATATATATATATATATATATATATATATATATACACACACACATTCATGTGCTTTCCGAAGGCAAGGCAGACCTGCCAAGCTGCTCAAGGCAGGGGTTGTACATGTTTGTTTTCATGATAGATGGGGTTTGCTGCATGTTTTCCCCTTTGATTCTGTCAGGCCCAGCTACAGCAAAGCTGTTGGTTTGCAGCAAGTATTTTTGTCGGGAGAGCTTTACGAGAATTGGAGAATAGTGGACTTTGTCTTTTATCAGTTGAGTTTGCTACCATTCAGACACATCGCCTATATCTGTGCTGCTGTGTTTCCCTATGTTTAAAATCCTCTAGAGTACCCACAGGGCTAATGGTTGAAATAGGCAGGGCTAGTGACCTTCTGTACTGTTATCTGCTGTCTCTGCATTCAGACTTGGGGATTAAGGAGGCGAGAAGTCCTGCTCATTTATAGTGTTTACACGATTATCTTTGTGATGATAGAACAACTTGTGGTTGTGTATATGAAGCTACAAATAACAAATGTAGCAGGGCATTAAATTGCTGTTTATTTTTTTTGCATTTTAACTTTGTAAACTATAAAATCTTGAGTCTCCTCATGGTTTGAGTCTTATTTTGTGAGCCAACTGACAGCAGTTGTTTACTCCTCTCTTTTCCCACACTCACTCGTCCCTCTGCTCTCAGCGCTCCACGCCCATCTCAGAGCATTTTTTTTTTTAATTCTGAGGTAGACTTGAACTGTAAGAGAGGGGTTTCATGGCCCTTTAAGAATAACAGTGTCTTGGACAGGCTTCAAAATAAATGTTATCTTCCACAGACATGAAATAAATGATTTGGATTTGAGAGTTTGGCTCTACTCACTGGTGAAAAGGTGATGGTTGTTCTTCCTCAGTTTGAGAGCACGCTCGTAGAGCTTTCGGGCGCTCTTCCTGGACTCGGGACAGAGCCTGGTCCTCATGTTCTTGACGCCCTGTTTGCTGTCTGGATTCAGAAACACCACGATGGGGTACCACTGAGCGTAGTTCAGACGGTCCACCGCATTAGGGGTGATGTCCAGCACCGCGTGCTTGTCCTAGCGGTACAAACACAATGATGAGATCTGTGAGATCACACACACACACTCATACTGAACAGATGGAAAGCGGGATGCCAGTTAACTAAATTATCCGCGTCCACACTCACTCGGTCAATGATCTGTTTAATGGTATGGAGACGGATGATTCCGGAGCTGCGCTGGTCTGTGCCCGCATCTCTGGGTTCACTCTCTGAGGGAAGGTGAAACAGACAAATTACCATCTGGATACACTGTAAAACAATACTGGGTTCCATACAATTCCTCCATGTTGTGCCAACACAATTTGATTAACTTGATTGTTTTTACAAGTATAAGTGGATTGAACTTAAGGGCGTACTCACACTATGTGCAGTTGCCTTGAACCGGGCCAAAGCACGCTTGTGCCCCCTCCCGTCTCCCCCGACGGCCCACACTCACTACATTCGGGCCTGAGTGTGCTTACGTCATTGATGCTGCACTGTTTAGTAAGCCCTCTCGCTCAGCACAGTGGAGATTTCTTTAATTATATCGTTGTAGTCTTTTGATATGCAGTGACACGCAGTCAAATATTTCAATGAACAGATCTGCCAGTTTTGATGCTCATAAACAGTCATAAAGTCCTCGTGCTGCAGGAATTAGGAGGTTTGCTGAAGGTACAGCTGTGGTGCAGTGAGGAGTTTGCAACTTTAATAAACTGTGACAGTTTGCGTTCATTAAACGGTAGGAATGATTAATAAACCCATATGCAACAGTCCCTTAAAAGTCACGTCTCGCTTTCAGTTTCGGGGCTTAGGCGCATTTTGCACTTACACTACAAGCGTACCGCACCAAAGCCCAAGTGAACCGTGCTCAGGCACACCTCATCCATCCGGGCCAGGGCCGGCCAAGTGAACCATGCCTGAGCCCGATTCAGCACACTTACACTTCTCAAACGATCTGGGAAAGGGGCCTGGGCACGCCTCGGATAGCATAGTGCGAGTATGCCCTAAAACACTTAAGTTGTCTTAAAAAAAAAACTTAAGAATTGTGCTGTTACATGCTCATTTTTAACCAGTAGTTTAAGTAAAAAAGGTCATTTTTTTAAGTGTATGAACAAAAACTGCCAAAAAAGATGGAAAGAACCGCACTACACAAAACTTACTTGCAAGTTCGAAGAGGTCAGTCTCCTCTCTGGACAGCTTCTCTCTAGCCACATCCGCGATCGGTCCGAAAATGACCACTGGCCTCAAGAAACCAGCTTCAGGAGGAACAAAATGTTAATTTGATTTCTACAAACAGTAAGTCATGAAAGATCACATTTATTTTAGTAAATGAAAAATAAAACGGTTTGGTATTTCGTTAAAAATAGAATGAAATCTTCACAATAAATTAAAAAAAACTAAATGTTAAGGTTATTGAACAACGAATACAGAATGCCGTCACTTGAGCTATAGACGACAAACACAGAGCATAAAGACAGAAGGGATTCAGTGAAAGGCGCACTCTGCCCTGCTGCTGTTTGGTGTGTATATGTGCGTGTTCATACATTGACGTACTGCTCATAGACATTACAAAAGAAAGGATGATCCGCTTTCAGTCAGTTGCTTCGACAAGTCAACGCAGCAGCTGTCTATTATAATGTCGGTGGTACTGCCAGTCTCTGTTTAGGATTTGTTTATGTACTGTACATGAATAAAGTCACAAGCAATGTATTAAAATTCCACTGATTTCCTGATATTAGCTTTGCATTTCAGGATATTCATAGCACAGCTCTCATAAGGAACTCTCCTGCCTCTCTATGTAGGCTAGTATTAAATGAACACAGCATGTAGAATATTCCGGTTGCTTTTTCTACTTTGTAAAGAGGGAGGAGAACAAAGCATCACTGCTTGAATTGACTCTAAAATGTTTTGCTTTGTTTTGTGATGGATCGATTAATATGCATCGGATTCAGTGTTCAAGGTTTGTTTACATGACAAATTTTTCACATTTGAATACGGAAAGGATACGAAAATTTCAGACTTCAGTGTGCAAAGACCTTTAGAACAAACTGAAACTAAATAATAATTGCCAAAAATAGTAACGGTTTTCAGAACTAATTACCACTGTTCACTGAGTGCAAACACAGATACAAGAACACATCAGCAGATCGCTCATATGTCAACACATAGTGGTAAACCTTTACAGCCAATCACAGTCATTTGATGTGAACACAATGACCAATCAGCAGTGTTTAAGAACAGCGCTAAATGTTAGCAGGAAATGGATGTTTTTAACATTTCGGTTCTTATTAGTACCGAAGTCGATACTTCAGACAATCCTACTTGTGACAGACAAACTAAACAGATTAACAAAGCTCTAAAAATGGATGCTGAAATCTGATATAAAAGCAGGCAGGCGCTGTACCTTCTCTAAGCACCACTCTTTCATAAGCAGGGAATTTGGTTTGGACCGGCTGAGCAGACAGGTCTTCTCTGCTCTTCCTCAGGTTTCGTTTGGAGCTGCGGAGGCCTCTGAATCTCCAGAAGTCGGCGCGATCCCCTCCTGGAGTCTTTGGGAGAGTGTACTGGACACTTGATAACTGCTCAGCCCTGCAGGAAACACAAGAACACAACAGTCTTGAGCAACTCAACATATATCAACACACACCTCTAGCAAAAACCAGCTTCACGCTCACCTGTTCTTGTTGGGGATGATGCCCCGCTCCACCTCCTGGTGGTTTTTGCCGATGCGGATGGCGAGCCAGGAGCCCAGTTTGCCATTGTAAAGGGTGTCGACGACTCTGAAGACCTCCCCCTTATTGAAGCTCAGGCCATAGGGCGACTCCTTCTCATATTCAAAATGAGTCCTGATGTAGAACGAGTCTCCCACGTCAGACTCTACAATGCGGCGGTACACTGCCAAGCAAAGAGGTTCATTATTAGCTTTATTTAATCAAATAATGAAATTATTATTAATTCAGTTCAATTCATCTTTATTCGTATAGCGCTTTTAAAATCTAGATTGTGAAACATCAACAGGGCTTTGTTACCTCTGCTACCTACTGTTTTAAAAAAAGGCAGACACACAAGTCCACTGTTAAATCTATTAAAACTGATAAACGTGTATAAAAGTTTAGAAAAATGTATAAACATCACACATTACATTACTTATTTTATCATACTTAAATATTTTAAATGTAAAATTACGCATTAACTTGAGCAGCTGTTTTCCCAGGCTAACAGTCTCTGTTTCACTGATGGTTGCTTCTTTTTAAAAATATATACACTCATATTTGCTATAACGTCGCATGATTACATCAAGTTCAGCTGGAGAAAGAAATGGTGATCTCTTTTTTTAGATGTTGCCATAGTCACTCGTGATATCTGCGCTCCATTGATAACGCCTTTTTATAGTCACGGTGTGCGCGCTTAACTCTGATTTGATTGATCTAACTCAGATCCGCTATTCTGAAACCAAAAACTCTGAGTTTTTAATCTCTCTGTAAATCAACTCAGAGTTCAAGTTTAAACTCTGAGTTGTTTGAACCTCCTTACTGAAACAGGCCCCAGGAAAAGTCTATTGTGTACAAATACTTCATGTTTACTGCCAATGAGTGTAAAGACTGTCAACAAAACATCTGTCTTTTGTGATCTGTATATACAAGAGTTAACATCATGTCTACACCAGAAGCGAGCAGTGAATAGAGAAATGAAACTGTTATAATTATAAATGTGTAGTTTTTTGTACAGTAATTTACACTTTTTTATGATTTTTTGTTGCAGAGTGTCCTTCAAGATAAAAAAAGGTTATTAAAAATAACTGTGTTTAATGTAATGTTAATGAAAATCTGTAATTTAGAAACCAATATAGCTGAAAACGAGTGTTTCAGTTAGCAGGTTTTATCAGGGCCAGAGTGGGACTCCTTTTCAGCCCTGGAGTTTCAAAGCTCAGACCGGCCCACCTCAGTTCACGACTGACTATATTAAAATAAAGTCATTCCAATTCAGTTTCTAATTACAATATCACGTCTTTTTTTGAGAAAAATGCTGCTTTAGAACTTCAAATGTTCAACAACCCTTACAGTATTATATGTCTTAACAATAAAAATGAAAAAAAAAAAAGGATCAAACCCAGGGCGGCAGCGTCGTAATCTCGCGTGCTAACCACTGGACCACAACAGTTGTATATTGAGAGGTGACTCATCTGAGTTATATCATCGTTATGTATAAAAAAGCAGAGCTGCGGTTAAATGATGAATGAGAAGACTGTGGTCAAGTAAATAAATAAATTAATTTAAAAAGTGTGACTGCTGAGAGCAACAGATTCTGGAGCTAGGGACACCGGCCCTCACGGCCAAAAAAACGACCGGCCCACCGGGAATTCTCCCGGTCCTCCCGATTAGCCAATCCGGGCCTGGTATTTATATTTACATATGAATTACATATCTGCAAAACTCACACTTTCAGTGAAATATTAATTGATATTGAATTAAGTAAAGCTTTATAAATAAGTCTTATTGTCATAACACCTAGCTCTAATTGCTAATGTAAAAATAAAGTGATGAGTTCCAGTTTTTGGAATAGGTTGCAAAAAAGGGATTCCCTCCTTAAAGGTATAGTTCACCCAAAACTGAACACTGACACCATTCACTCAGCCTTTATTTGTTTTAAACCTATTTCAGTCCATTTTTTTTGCTGAACACAAAACAAGACATATTGACGAAAGCTGAAAACCGGTAACCACTGACTTCCATAGTAGGAAAAACAAATGGTTATAGGTTTCCAACAGAATATTAGGTTTTGGTTATCCCTTTAAGCATTGACAAATCATCTCCTCACCGTCTTTCTTCTTCTGGGCCAGGATGGTGACCTCCTCTCCTTTGGGCAGATCCAGCAGGAACAGCACTGCCTCCTCTCGGATGATATTTGCAAAATCCACATTATTTACCTGGAAAGAGTTAAAAAGCCACTTAGCACAAAACAACAAAACCTCTGAAAGGAAGGAGAGGAAACTTCTTGGGACAGGTTTGTGAAAAGTGTGAATGTGCGGTGGGCGTTGAGGGTTTGTGTGAAAGCGAAGGTGACAGACGCTCTGAATAAAGAACAGGCATGTTGGAAAAACCCAGAAAGCCACAGAAAGAACCTGCGTTTGGCAGCAAAGAGTCACCGGGGAAACCTTCCAGAGAGAGGGCAAACATCTCCACACACACTGAGGTTTAACGGCATCTATACAGCACGAGAGGGACGTTTTGGAAGCGGGAACCGCCATAAAACTAGCACTGCCATTAAAGAGCCCATAAACAGAAGGTTATAAAAGCCGGGAACACCAGATCTCCCTTCACCCACAGGCCTTTAAGAGTCCTGCTCTTGTTATTCATCACAAGAACTAAATGCCACGACAAACATCTTCAGGCCTGAACTGTTAAGAAGCTGTAAGGGATGCAATGGCTTGAGTAAAGACCAAGTAGGTTTTAAAATATATGACAGGAATGCTGTTAAACATACAGTAGCGTTAGCATGAAGGCTCCAAAACATTGAGCTGCCTACAGTTTTAGGGATCAGAGGAAACCTTATGCCGAGTTCAGACTGCATGATTTTAGGCCTGATTTTGACTCGCCAACAAGTTGAAAAATCGCAGACAAATGTCTGAAATCACAGGCGAATTTCTGCTCGTTCATGTGAGTGACAGTCACAGTGTGAACTATCACAGACGCCATCTGAGAGAATCGCAGATCAGTTGCCGATACACGTGAGATATTTGGCATCCTAAATATCTGGAGCTGTCGGCGATTGAAATCATGCCCTGTGAAATGTGTTCTGATTGAAAATAACATCGGCAATCACCTACAGCCAATCAGAGAGCAGCATCCACTAGTGTGGCCATCTGCAGGCCAGCAGGAGGATGAGGGAGAAGTTAAAATGGCTTCTTTTCGGTCTATTTGGACCCAAGAAATGAATGAAAAAAACTAGTGAGGTGCACATGTGTCTTTTTGACGTGTCATCTGAGCAATACCACAACGGGGTCGAAACAGAAATATGTTTGAGAGAAATTGCTAATTCCCTTCAAAAAGCCAAGTGAGCAGAATAAGTACACTTTCTACCCCAATAAATGCTTCTTTCTCATTGTGTAGGTAATAACACAAAATATACTGTGTGACCTTGCATTGTTTCCACTACACTTCTCGCACATTTTTGGTTGTGAGACGTAGTTTGTGGACCAAGACAAAGTTGTCAGCGATTCTCCTATTGTAAAGTCCTGCAGTGTGAAACCCCGTCACTGATCCATCTTGCAGTGTAAACACAGCATTGACAAAACACTAGCCCAGATACACATGCAGTGTAAAAACATCCATGACACGACAACTTTAAAAATTGTGCTGTCTGAACTCGGCAAAAAATACCTTAATCAGACATTTTTGGGCACAAAGGTCTCAACTGTGAACCCAAATTTAATTAAATTTTTCTTTATAAATGTCTTTAAAAAAATTAAATTTATCAATGTGTGTATTTTTCAATTTCTAAAATGTTTGTTTACATTTATTTACCTCTAAAAAGTGGCAATTTAAAAACATGCATTTAATATTAGTGTTCTGCATTCACTTTATATGGGACAAATTAGGACTGGACGATAAAATCGATGTCAATATTTATTGACCAAATACCATTGTCAATATTGATAATAAAAAAAGTTTGGTATGAAGTTTCAGTATGAAGGCTATAGTTCAAATGAAAATGAAAATTGACTCACTATTTATTTCCTCTTAAGTGGTTATAAACCTTTGCATTTCTTTAATCTGTTGAACACTAAAGATGATATTTTGAAGTAAGTAACTCCTGTAACCCTCGACTTTTAAGTTTCCAACACTATTCAAAACATCTTCTTTTGTATTTAACAGAAGAAAGAAAGTCAAACAAGTCTGGAACAAGAGAATGGTAAATAAATGATCACAATATTAATTTTTTGGGTGAACTATGACTATAAACATGTTGAGATTTCAGGTGTCATTCACTTCCATTCATATTAAACCATTAAAACCCTATAATGATGACCGATGTTGCAGACTAGTGTTTTCTTATCATAATGTAAAGTATTATCATTAACATACTGGTTTGTAGGGAAAGCAATTAGTCAGTTTACATTAGTTTTTTCCCTACGAATTTACTAAAATCAAACAAATTCACAGAAAAGCACTTACTTCTGCATTGCAAAACAAAGTGAAAATGAGTTGTTTGAGAGTAAGTGTTCACAGTTTAGCTTTCATACTGTAACGATGTCAACTTGAACAAACGTTTTTAGGACGTCTCTCACCCTGAGAATCTGGTCTCCCTCTTCCAGGCCCTCTTTAGCAGCAGGACTGTCCTCCAGAACTCCCGCCACAAATATCCCAACGTCGTTCCCCCCAGCGAGCCTCAAGCCCACGCTCTCGCCCTTCTTGAACTTCACCAGCTTCATGCTCGGCCTGAGGACGGACACACAAACACACATCTGAGACTGCTCTCTCTCAACACCTTCAAATGATTACATGCACTAAAATCAGTTTACTGAAATGACTGAATACCTATATCAAAACAATGCAAGACTTTATTAATACATCACTTTATTTATTGCAGTGGAAACGGGCCATGACAAAATGCATCTGAATGCCCTGAAAGTTGCTGAGACGTACCGTAAGATGCTGTCATCATGTGTGACGCTGGGCACAGGAGCATCTGCCGGACTAACAGGCAGGTCCACGTCCGGCTGGCCCGGCTGAGCGTACACAGGTTTGGGCTCTGAGGAGAACAAGACACATTGAGTATTTATTTAAAACACACACACACACACACACACACACACACACACACAACTGCCACCACAGGAGCGTGTCGCGCTCTAGGTGGTCACAGTAAAACTTAACAGGACGGAGCAGGTGGCAAGAAGCTGTCGAAACTGACAAACTCCCGCTGCTCTTCACCGTCTGCAGGCCCCAGAATAGTGTGTGCAGAATGGATGACAGTGTATTGATGTGTAGTGACCTCTGACCTGGCAGAGGGGGGAGCTGTTTCTCTGTTTCTCTGGCTGCGCTCTGCTCTTTCGGCATCTCCTCCACCATCTTAGCAGGTAGAGGAAGCGGCCCGGCCTTGGAGATCCTGTCTTCATCACGGCTCCTGTGACTGTAGGGCAGCAGAGTAAAGGAAACGGCATCACACATCACTTACTGAGGCAAGTGTCTAACAGAATCGTTCTTTGAGGCAGTTTCTTTTTTTAATGATTTGGCCAAAAGGTGTAAGAAATAGGTTTCATGGTAGAATAAAAGGACTGACATGCTTGAACCATAAACCATCCTAAAGACTCAAAATTCTCTTGAACATAAGATTTAAAAATTGATTTTTTATAAAAATGAATTGATTTATGGTTAATTTAAGATCTCAACTAGAGCGATGGCATCTAACCTAAAGATTTGGAAAAAAAGATGTAGACCATTATTCTGACACTTGTCATTTTTAAGTGATTAGTTTTTTAAATGATCAGTCTTTTGAATTCAATTGTTGAAAGTAATAGTCTGAATAACTCAAAGCACCAACATAAGTGACTTTATTGTTATGAAATATGCTGCAATTATTACAACTTACACTGTATTTATTATATAAAAAGAAAGTATTCGTGAAGTATTTTGTTTTCTTGGCCATTTAACCAAATCATGAATAATAAATCAAGACCTTTTAAAATTATTAATTTAGCAGTAAATATCTTAAATCCAATAACACAACAGTAAACAAAAAATAATGATACTAAATACATATTTTTTAAACCAACAAAACACCCAGTTCTTCAGAAAAAAGATCTGAACGAAAATGTAAAATTTGCTTAAATTCACATTAAGAGCTAAAATCCTTCCTTCTTAAGGCCAGAAACATTCTCAACACAAGTATGCAAACACAGATGTGAACACTTCGCCAACTAAATCAAGTGATTAAGTCAGTAAAATGTTTAGAGTTTTAGAAAAAATTTAGAAAAATTGTTTTACAAAGCTTAAAGGGGCACAAAACACCAAAGCACATTTTTGAGATGTTAACAGTCGTATACGTGTCCCATGTTGCTAAAAACACTATTAGGAAACATATATTTAGCTAACAAGTGAAAATTGCCTGTTTTTGCGTAATTTGAGCAAATTTGTTCTTCTGGTTTAAAAATAAATTTACGTCACGGCGATTTGACCATTGTGTAATTTCCAGCGTGGAGACTGGATGTCTGTACCGGTGAGTACAAAGTGACGTCATTGAGCTTTCAGCATTAATTCATGAGAAAGACTTGGTTTGAAACAATCAGCGCGCTCTATCGTAATCAAGATGCAACTTCATTAATATAAATGATAAAGCTTCGAAGACTGCTTTTACATGTTACTGTGTTCAGAGAGACGCCACGTTGTGTTGCAAACCATAATTCAAACAAGAAGAATTGTTTGGAGACATGGGTCGCGTTGTGTTTATAAATGTGCCGAAACAAAGGTTTTGTTTTCATTTCCTTACAGCTCGCGTGTGGACCTTACAGTGGTCTTCCAACACACAACAAAAATATGTTCACAAGGAGCATTTTTTCACCCGAGGGCTTTGCTTTTGGAGATGGTGAAATCTGGATTAGCCGCTTGTCTTCTTTTAAAAAAGACATGGTTCCAGTTGGTGTTGATTGTCCTGTCTCGACAGATTTGGTAAGTGTGTGATCAATGTGCTTTATTTATGTTTATTCAGAGGCTAACTTGGTTAGTATCGTCAGCAGAACTCTCAGTATTTAAAGACATACCTTAGTCAAAATTATTTAGTTACTAAGTTTACAATAATAATACTACAATATCATGGACTGAAAATCCGACACGTCCACACAGCTCTCAGATGTGCTGCTGCTCTCCGAGTCACTGTCTATCTCCCCTGTGTGTGTTTGTGTTGCTGCTGTGAAAATCAGCTGTAGTGCACGTACTGAAACTCCCCTTTTTATGTAAACCCTTCCTTCTTTCGCCATTCAACACTCCAACCTAAACAAAGCTGGACTCGCACAATTTCCTGACTTTTTTTTTCCCCCAAGCTGTACACCCTGCTGAGATGGGGTGGTGGGGGGGTTCATGGCTCTTTAAATAAACTTTGCTAACTTACCATGATATGAAGCAAGCTATTCTTTACAGTACCATGATCTCAGTAGCTTTGTTTCCATCTCTTGTTACATTTGCACAAGTGTGTTGTTGTAGGTGCAGTTCACATAATGGCCACCGGTGTCACTAGAAACTATTGCTTCTGAATTTGACAGTGTTCATTTAATTCTTAACCTGACATTACTGTAGTGATAATAAACATCAGTACTGCAGGGGGTGACTGCAGTGCGTGATTTGTGAATTGCGAGGTCCCGGAAAAGATCGGGTTAACGGATCCAGCAAGTTACCAGAGGATGGAGAGGTGTGTGTGTGTGTGCCGCGCACGAAAGTGGAGAGCGAGGCGGGTGTTGGATGGCAGAGGGATGTCTTGGAAGAAGGACGAAAGTGAAGAGCGGGGGGTTGTCGTGGACAAAAGTGAAGAGGGTTGGGGTGTCGCGGAGGAAAGTGAAAGTGAACAGCGGACCGGGGAAGTGGGCGGTTGAGGAGGGGGATCAGTACAATGAGGTGCCGGATCAGATTTCAGAGGTGCCGGATCCGGCATGTTCCGGCACAAATGAAGCCCTGGGTGACTAAGATGGTTAAACCTCATATTGAGCACTTAATTAACTTGTATCCACCACTAGACTATTCCACATCAAAAAAAACTTGAGTGTTCTACACGAATGTCTACTAGCGGGCCCCTTATGGATAACAATGAGAATGCAATGCATTAGCAATAAGTACTTGGTAGAGTATGTTTCAGGCCTTAAACGAACGCACATCAATAATACACCTGTATACCAGGACAATGAAAACGTACAATAGAGTGTGAAATGAAATAAGCTTTGTGCTGTTGGGTTAAAGCGTTTGATGATTAATGCATGCTCTGCTCTCAGCAGGACAACCAAAAACAACACACGCTTTTTCCACACTATCAAGCCTAAGCACACAACCCATAAAACACTGTTTACACTGAAAGACAAATGGCAGATGAGAGCGAGGTGGACGGGGAGAGAGGGAGGACGGTGTGTGGCTAGGGCAGCTAGGTAGTCTTGAAGGTCACAGCTGTGCTTTGCAGCTTCTTTGTTGGACTATATTTAGCGCAGCCCATCTGATCTGGAGTAATGGAGGAGACAGAGAGTGAGAGAGAGACGGGAAAGAGAAAAGGACTCCAGGTGCACCACCGCCATTGAGGCACTCCGAAATTCGGCACGTGGCCAAAGATGACGGGTCCGGCCCGCGACCTTTATTGTCACGGTAAACAACAGCGGGCGACATCCACAGACTGCAGAAACTCTCCATCACTGCGGAGCCAGGCCGCCACATGTGCTCCTGTTTTATTCATGACAATGACGAATTTCTCCCCCTGCAATTACTGTGTGGCTCAATAAAAAGCCTTGGCTGATGACATTGAGGATAAGTGTGTGGCATAACGCTCAACACCTTAGAGTATTAAAGTCTTCTGAGGGTCTTTATGGATCTTATGATCCATAAAACTGACTGTAAGAGACAAAAAAAAATGTAAAACAATCAATAAATGTGGTTTAACAATTTCAACTGTTATTTTGTGGTTTGGGAACGTGATAGGGCTTTTATTATTGTTCTACTGGAGTTAGATCAGTACTTGCCCTGACACTTTTACATTTAGGGTGCTTTCACACTAGCACTTTTGGTCCGCACCCGGGTTCGTTTGACATCATAGTACAGTACGTTTAGCTAGTGTGAACGATTCTTCTGAACTCGGGTGCGCACCCGTGAACCGTCCCAGAGTCCGCCTGAAAGAGGTGGTCTGGGGTACGGTTCATGCGAACTCTGGTACGGTTCACTTCTGATGTGAATGCAATCGTACCAAATCACGGAAGTGAACCGCCAACTGTACAACAAACTATCGTTTTCATAACGTTCGTTCGTGTTTGTGTGTGTGTGTCACGTTTCGTACCTTGGTAACACGCGGGACTGAGCCATGGCAAATACAGTGATACACAGTGATGTCTGCTTGTCTCCTCCAAAAACAGCTTCTGCAGACACAGTCTGATGTTCTGAATGTTTATAATATGTTTGCTGTAGATGGACGCGAGTCGCTTTCTGTATGTCCGAAACCAAAAGCTTCAGCTAAAGCAGAATGACCACGATGTGCGGAAGTCTTTCCATTTCGGCGCTTCCTTTTGAGACCGTCACCAAGCAACGGCCGTAAACAAAACAGCAGCTCAATGACGCAAGCGTACCGGGGTTCAGAAGGAAAAAAGACAGCGTGAACTCAAACCAACCGAGGAGGTGGCAAGGGAAGACAATTGAACTTGGGTACGGTCCAGGCAAATGAACCAAGTGTGAAAGCACCCTTAAACCCAACACAGTACCAAAAAAAGGAGAGCATGGTACAGTATTGCCCCGTTTCCACTGAGTGGTACGGTTTGGTACGCTTTTATGGCTGTTTCCACTGTCAAAAGGCGTCCCGAACCGTACCCTACCACTTTTTCGGCACCCTTTCGAAAGGGTAACAAAAGGTGGAGCTACACACGCAGCTGAATGCTGATTGGTTACAGAGATACGTCAAGAGCTCGTGTGGAGCTAGCCAGAATGAAAACAAAGGACCCGCCATGTTTTTATACACAGCTGAGAGATTACACTGTAAAACTACATGCATATAATAACGAGCCATGGGTGACCTTAGCTCAAACAAACCCTGTCGTCATCTTGATGTACAGACACAAACCCAAGAAGAAAAGAAAATCTACCGTGTCCTGTTTTACGAGGATGTTTTGTTGCTTAAGAAGTACTTTTCATTTGGAACTAGGCTTTTTTTTTCAGACCAGCACTGGAACTGCCTTGGTAATGCCACTTTAACTGATGGATAGAAGTGCAGATTGCGAAAGGGGGTGATCACAAGCACCCTTCTTAAAGTTAAAATGATGAATAGCACTCCCGGAGGCCTCCTGGATTTAACAGCACTTACACATGGCACTCATTCTGTTTGAGCTGATGTCATCATACAGTAGGTACTGCTCTTCCTCTACTTTTTTCTTGCTCTTTGGGGTGCAATACTGCGAGACACAGACTGACCCTTTTCTCTTTAGCAATCAACCAGTTCCAAAATTTCCGGGGTAATTCTTTAGCTTTAAATGAAAGAGAAAATGGAGGACTGAACTTGGCAGGCATCTTAAAACACACACTTCCCTTCACTAACAGACTGGAGCGAGGCTGGCAAAATCAAGCACGAGAGAGCAAGTTGGAAAATGTTGATCACGCTCTTACACGAGGTCCAGAAGGTCAATATCACCTATGAATGGCAGCTGTTCAGCTACCTCCATGTGACTGATCACTCTGAAACTCTCATGTCTAATCTAACTGGCTGATGGCAACACATGAAAGAAACGTTCCCCAAACCTCCTTTCCATTTATACAATGCCATGGTCAGTTCTGGCACCATTCCCTAATCCTACCTCAGGTGGTTCTGGAAAGCAAGCATTGGCTCCCCAGTGGTTCCAAACCTGTTGGTTATTGAACCAAAAGCTCAGTGATGTCCTCCTTACCGCAAAAAGTTCTCAAAGAAATCTAGCCAGATTGACAGGAAGAGAGACAGATGCCAAAGCTGTCAGGAAGCAGCCTCTGTCTTCACAGAGTCCAACTTTCTGTGACTTTATGCACATGGTACAGGTGGTGCTTCAATCCTACTGGACGACTTTCAAGGACGGTTGGCTGAGCAGATGTGCCTGTAATACCAAACTCAGAGGCAGAGAAGAACTACTACAAATGATGTTAAAAGCAGCTTGTTCCTGCATACACAGCGAAAACTGACAGCAGCGGGCCTCTGAAGAATGTGTACATTACGACAGACACCCCTATTTTTCTTTTCACTCAGCAGATAAGAGGTAGCACACAGCTGAGACCAGTTCTGTGGATTTATGAGGGAATGAATGAAGGGATAGGTTTGATGTCACAGATGCATGCTGGGATTGGGTAAACAGACCAAGACATTTCCTGTGCCCAGGTCAGGTAGGCAAAATGGAGTGATGAAATGAACATGAATGTCAAGCATAAAGGAACTCCACCACTTGGGCACAGTACACACACACATTGGGTTACACCACTTCATGAAGCACCCACATCACATGCTTTAGTGCCAAGCTCACACAAGCGTTAGTTTTGTTAGCTATTATCGCGACACTGCTGCGTTAACCAGACCCAAACACTTACACTGGCCGCGTTCTCTGAGCCGTCGGCCCTGTGGCCCTGATTCAAAACAACAAGAGGAAACTTGTGAACACACGACTGAGGGTCTGTAAATATGTGTGTGGTCTAAACTGGCTTTAGAGAGGAGTGTAACTTCTAAAACATCTTCCTGCTTGCTATAGTTTGAAAACAACTAAAAGTTCCAAAAAACACCAATGACTTAAGCAGGAATTGAGCAGGGCTCGAAAAGAAAATTGGCTTAATTTGAATTCTTCACTTTAATGAAACCAGAATGATTTTGGAAGTCTGAGGTAATAGACTTAAGGACTTCAAATTAAATTCTTTTTTTTGTACTTAATTGAAAAGCAAAAAGAAGTAGACGAGTGTTTACCCTTTGGCTGGGCGATGGGCAAAAATGCAAATTCTATATATTTTTTCCCCCCATATTGAACAATAACGATAAAATTTCAACATAAGTTGTTAATGCTTCCAGCAATGGGCATTGCTAGGCCTATCTTAGGGGGGCTGTAGCCCTCCTTTATTTCTACTCAGCCCCCCTAAAACTTTTGCGTTTAGCTCAGAAACTGTACACTAGAAAACTGTAGAAGAAAACGGCGGCAGAATTCAGATCCTCCCCCTCTTGTTTTCCATTTGATCAGCAAACCACAGCCGTGGGCGGTGACGCCCCATTCACACAGGGCTTTAGCGTCAACGCTTGACTGAAGGCGTGTCTGAAGTTGGGGCTACAACGATCGTCATAGCAGCATCAGCCAATAAAATTCAGTTAGCAAAAGGCCACTGTCTTGCTGGTGTATTTGCATACAGCGATCTGATTGGCTGACGCTTCTGTTGGCGCTTGAAAAGTTGAGCTAGTCCCAACTTCTGCAGCAAGCAACGCCTCTGAAGCGGCGCCAACGGATCCACATTGCAGTTCGGCAACGCCTGACGTCACCACGAAGCGTTGATGCTGACGTGAGAGAACGAGGTGTGTGTTTATCGATAAATTGTGATATCATCTGCTTATTTGCAGTTCTTTGATACAAATAACCTTGCATCACCTGTATCCCAATGTCACAGAGGAGCAGTCGGGTTTTCTCTGCGTTCACCTCATCAGCACAGCCCTTTCCTCCAGCAAGAACTATAACTCTTAAAGAACATTTCGCTATTTTTATTTCTAAATGAACTACCAATTTTAAACACTTTACAGTTCGTGTGGCATTAACTACACCATACAGTCTTGCACAGAAAGGATTAAACAGTGACAGAAGCATTTAGAGAATGTACTCGTCACTGACTGAGATAGACACATCACGTATTGTCTAGTATTGAAAAAAACTTAATTATTATTATTATTATTCAGATCGTGAAATATGTGAATTAGCCTGTAAGTTTGAAACTATACATTTATATGTATGCCATTTGATTAGAAAAGTGGCAGTTTGTTTATTAGTTTATTTAATACTGGCCTGATTTGGCCAGTAACATTCTGTACACTGGCCCGAGGGTCTCGCGTCATAGACGTGGTGTAAAATTCAGCAAAAAAAAAAGAACAAAACCATGCCAACAAAAGCCACACAAACTTTTTAACCCCTAGGCAAAGAAAAAAAACAGCTACCCCATGAGGATATCAAGGCCTGTAAAGCCACAAAAACGCACCAGTTCATATAGTAGTAAATGGTTTACTCAGAGTAGTCAACTAGAAATAGCCTACTCGTGCTTTCAAGCATTTTACCACCAAAAAAAAAAGACACTTCACCTTTAAAATGTAGGGCTTCATTTAGGCTGACACATTTGCAGGTAGATGAAATTCCTCTCATCCTCCACTGCTGTCACACCCTGGTTTATCTATCTAGGACACTTCCAATTTACAGGAGCGTTTTGTCAAGCGCTGCAGCACCGTCTGACAGAAGCTTCTCTCTCATGCGCCCGTCACAAGGTTGTTCTCATATCAGCGGTGAGCAGGTCTCACAAATTTCAGCTCATCAAGTTTTAGTACACCATTTTTTGTAATCTTGAGGAACAGGAAGACTTTAAACTTGAGGGAAGACTGAAAACTGGCTCTAAAGTCAGACACATTTACTTCACCTGAATCAGAACTCTGATTTGATTTGTAATGAAGCATTTTGTGTGAAAGGAAGTGAGAGAAAGGGAAAGGGGTCGCACCTGCCGTTGCTGATCTGTGGTGGAGAGTGTCTGGAGTGGTCTGAGGGTTCGGAGCGGCGGTCTGGAGAACGAGAGCGGCTGCTCCTCTTCCGGTCGTGGGATCGGTTGGAATGATCAGAGGCCACGGAGTGGATGTCTGAAATATCTAACAAAGAGATTCAATTAATGCACTGTATTAAAATTGTTGCTACTGTGTTTTTTTTAAAGGGTTGACTTGTTCCAAACCAGTCCAAGCTTTTTGTTATGCCCAACAAAATAAGATATATATATTTTTTATGACCTTTTCAGGGTTTTCACCTTTATTGGATAGTACAACAGAAGGAATTGACAGGAAAGTGTGGAGAGCAGAGAGAGGGAAAGTATCGGCACAGGACCGAGGTGGGTATCGAACTTGGGTCACCGTGAGCACCAAAGTGCATGTGTCGATGCATTTTCCACTGAGACATTGGCACAGACAAATAAAATATTTTGAAGAATGTTACTACTGACTTCCACGATATTTGTTTTTCGTACTTTTTTTAAAAATATCTTTTTAGTGTTCAACAGAAAAAGGAAAAAATCATAAAGGTATGGAACAACCTTTTCATTTTTGTGCGAAGTTCAGTCATTTACCTTTTTTTTTTTTAAATTGTCATTTCGAATATGTTCAAGTTTCAGTTTTAACACTATTTGCTCGGTTTAGTTTATTTTTAGTTTAACAGACTTTAACTTTAACAACTTTATTTTAACTTATAAGAGGTTCACTCATTTTTATTTCAGAAAACAATGTTTTAAGATTTAAGTTTACTTTATAATCTAATACTGTTTCAATTTTAGCTAACAATATTTAAAACAAGAAAAAAATTATTTGCTACACATCTTGCAAAACTAAATAAAATACATACAGTTGAAGTCAGAATTATTATCCCATCTTTGAATTTTTTTCTTTTTTAAATATTTCCCAAATGATGTTTAACAGAGAAAGGAAATTTTCACAGTATGTCTGATAATATTTTTTCTTCTAAAGAAAGTCTTATTTGTTTTATTTCGGCTAGAATAAAAGCAGATTTATATTTTTAAAAACCATTTTAGGGTCAAAATTATTAGCCCCTTTAAGCTATATATTTTTTTCGATAGTCTACAGAACAAACCATCATTAAACAATGACTTGCCTAATTACCCTAACCTGCCTAGTTAACCTAATTAACCTAGTTAAGCCTTTAAATGTCACTTTAAGCTGTATAGAAGTGTCTTAATAAATATCTAGTCAAATATAATTTACTGTCATCATGGCAAATATAAAATAAATCAGTTATTAGAGATGAGTTATTAAAACTATTATGTGTAGAAATGTGCTGGAAAAAATCTGCTCTCCGTTAAACAGAAATTGGGGGGAAAAATAAACAGGGGCTAACAGCTGAAGTCAGAATTGTATCTTTTGAACAAAATCGAACATTTTCAATGGAAAATATAAAATTAAAATACAACACTAAAATCAGAGTTTTTGCAGGTTTCACCAAGTTGAATTAAAAAATTTAAGACATTAAGACAATTACAATTTAAATTTTAGTCTTATACAGAGCTAAATGCTAAGATTTTTTTCAAATAGCCCAGGCAGAAAAGATTTTTATTTGCCCAATCAAAAAAAAAACTATAATTTAATTATATAATAATAATGACAATTTGAAAAATTTAATAATTTAGATACTTCTTAGCTAAATATTTTAATATTGTGCAAAAACAAGCAAGCTCTGGTTGCATCCAACATAAAACTTTCTTTAAAATAAAAAAGAAATGCTTCAAAAGTTTTAAAAACTATAATAAACTAAATCTATGCACAACAATCTGTCTAGGTCGGTGTCCTACTGTACATACATGGAGCACTTTTAAACAAACGGTATTGTTAGGAAAATTCATTCATTCATTTATTCATTCATTCATTCATTCATTTCCTTTTTTGCTTAGTCCCTTAGGCCACAGCAGAATGAACCGCCAACCTTTCCAGCACATGTTTTACGCAGCGGATGCCCTTTCAGCTGCCACCCAGCACTGGGAAACACCCATTTACTCTCATTCTCACACATACACTACGGACAATTTAGCCTACCCAATTTACCTATACAACATGTCTTTGGACACCCGGAGGAAACCCACGCTGACATAGAAATGCCAACTGACCCCGCCGAGGTTCGAACCAGTGACCTTCTTGCTGTGAGGTGATCATGCTACTCACTGTGCCACCGTGACACCCTTGTAAGGAAAATACTAGTTAAAATGATCTTTCCAAATAAAAAGGTTTAAAGTTTTACTCAGATGGATTGTTGATTATTATATGGGTGTTAATGGACAGAATGGGTAGCAATACATGAACAAAGAAAAATTAAGACCTGTTAAAAAACATTTAAGACATACAACACAATTTTTCAGTAGATTCGAGAATTTAAATTTAAGACATTTAAAACTTTAAGACCCCGCGGACACCCTGATAATTCCTGAGTTTTATATTAAATGTTATATGATTGAAAATCTTATATTATATCTGTCCAGTATGTATATTTTATATTTTGGTACCACTTTAGCATAAGAACCAATTATCATTATTTACTAGTAGCTTAGTAATAGTGCCTATTATTAATATATATTGTCTGTTTATAAGTTATCAATAAGTTTATTTTATGCATAATCTTATTGTAAATCCCTAATCCTACCCAATATTACCTTAACTGCTAGTTAGCAGAAGGTCAGGAGTTTATTGAGCTTAATGTCATAGTTATTGTTTTATTAATAGCAAGAATTGTTCCTTAAAATAAAGTGTGACCCAATTTTTATAATATTTTTTCATTGTTACAGCTAGCTGGTTGTGTTTAGATGTGTTTCACTGGAGGAGAAAAAAAACAAATAATGGCAACATGTTATAACAGTAGAAATGCTGAACTCATATTTTCATGATTTACCTACAGAATACTAACTATTGGGTGTGTCTCCGTCAGCACCCTTGTTTAATAGTCAGCGCACTGATCAGCCATTTTGAGTGCTGTTCTCAATCGCAAAATTCTTCCAGTACACTCAAACTTTTGCGCCCTGAAATATCGCACAATGTACTGTGCACTCAGAAATCTCATAGTTCGGATCACATTATAGAGTTTGAGTCACAGATCAGACCATTTTTCAGATCAGCAAAAAAGGGGAGAAGACAGAGGTTGTTTGCTTTCCATTTATTAGAAAAACAGTACTGCAAGACACTTTTGGTTTTAACAAACAGAACTTAGAACCTGTAATTTTACTGCAAATAAAAATCTATAAATAAACAGGTAATAAAAAAGTTAAATATTCAATACTGAGAATGAACGTTGCTAGTGTTGATGATAATGCTAAATGTAGAATTGTAACATTATAATCTTATACAACAACTCATATTTATTTCGTCTCATTTTCAATGATTCAACAACTCACTCCTAACAACTTAGTTTCAATAATGATGTATCCTTTTTGCTGAATTTTTCAGTGATATTTTTAAATGGCTGGTCATTACACCTTTCCTTTTTGCATTAAATGGTCATTTTAATCTTTAACAAACATCAGTGTTTATATTTGAACTATGAACTGTTCCCCCAGTATTTCTGTGTTGTTTGATTATTTGTAACTTTGCAATTTAGTAATTGAATAGAGAAAAAAAAACAATCAAATCAAGCAAAAAATTAATAAATAAATAAAAAGAGCAAATCAGGATCATTTAGAATTTAGTTTGCGTGGGTATTGTGATCCCGATCTTTTACTGATTAATTGTGCAGCTCACACTGAATGCATTAAAGCAGGCTAAACAAGCAGTGACAGAAGACAACTCTAATAACCTAAGAAAGCATTTAGGTGCCTCCACAACTACTTCCCGTAAATATATTTTACAAGGAAGTCAAAATCTCTTCATGCGTGTGTTTGGAATGACGAGGGAGACAAGCTCTCTGCAATCATTACAAAAGTTGGATTCATCTACAAGTAAAAAAACATTTTATTTTAACATGTTTTTAATCCGGGGACCGCATTCACGCAAACCATGAATTGTGATCATCTAGATCACGAATCAACTATGATCCGTTACACAAATATTTAGCTAAAGTTACTATATTATTATGATTAGTTCGGCTGTCAATTATAAATGTCAGTTTTGATAACGTATAATCAGGATATTCTCATATCACACACAATGTGTCTCCAGGTGTAGTGAACCAACTTCATCAGTGGCCTTAATAGTGCCCAAATCTGTGTGTGACCTACTGATGAACGACCTCTGAAGCTAGGGTGCTGATCGAAACAGCCATAAGGCTCCACTATCATGCGTTATAAGAAAAAAAAAAAACGAAGCTAAACCGCATTGGGGTGACACGGTGGCACCACGCCACAGCAAGAAAGTCACTGATTCGAGCCTCGGTCGGGTCAGTTGCATTTCTGTGTGGAGTTTGCATGTTCTCCCCATGTTGGCATGGGTTTCCTTCAGGTGCTCCGGTTTCCCCCACAGTCAAAAGACATGCGGTATAGGCAAATTGGGTAGGCTAATTTGACCGTAGTGTATGAGTGTGTATGGATGTTTTCCAGTGATGGGTTGCAGCTGGGAGGGCATCCGCTGCGTAAAAAAATGCTGGAGAGATGAATCGGTAGGCCATGATGGATAAGGGGTGAGAGGGAATTTGGCCAGGACACCGGGGTTACACCTCTAATCTTTTACGAGAAGTGCCATGGGATTTTTAATGACCACAGAGAGTCAGGACCTAGGCTTAACGTATCATCCAAAAGACTGGGACTTAGCCAAAAAGAAATTGAATGAATGAATGAATAAACAATCCGCATTGGAGACTCTCTCACCATCTCTGTCCGAGGCATTAGCAGAAGGTATGCTGTCGTCCAGATCGGGGATGTTCAGCAGCGTCGCCCGCTCGTCTCTCTGCACCACCATCTTCAGCTTTCCCTTTGACCTCTCGATCAGCTTCTTAGCATCGATCAGGGACAAATTCTCTGTTACCGTGCCATTAATCTACATGAAGAGTAAATAAAGTCCGAGTAAAATCCGTCACTCTAGGTCGGCGCTCATCACTTGTCTTGCTCCATCTGTCTGCGCTCTCCAACAGGTGTTTTGAGTGCTCTTACCTTAAGCACCACGTCTCCCTCTTGGATGTTTCCGTCTCGGGCTGCCAGGCTCTCGGGGGAAATGTCCTTCACGAAGATGTGGCTGGCCAGGCGAAGCCCGTATTCTGCTTACAGAGTAAACCGCAGAAACACATGCAGCATGTTAGCATATGTTAGTCAGCAGCGCCACTCATTTTTTCTGACGGAAACCTGTTTTCTGGCTTTAAAACTGCGCACATGCCACTACTAGATTACTTATTTAGTAGTGATGTGGGGGTCGGATTCTGATTGGCTAGCAATGCATGTTTAGATCACAGCAAATCAGTTTGATCGCAGATTATGGACCCTATCATACACCCGGCGTAATAAGGCGCAAGACGTATTTGGCGCGATTTGTTGCTATTTTCAGACCAGCGCAACTGTAATTTTCAGTTTATTCACAACAATTTGCATTAGTATAATCTTATTACTATTAACAGTATCATTTATTTTATGCATATTTATATACATTGAAATAAAACAAGTTCAGATTTGTCCTCCTGTCGGGTTTCGGAGACGTGCATCAATATGCAAGACATGCTGCTTAATATTAGATTAAGGTACTATGCATCAGTCTGGGGCATAAGATTAGGACGTGTATTTGGAAATAACTCAGTTTTTATTACCACACTTTGTTATTATTCTTCGTTTATTTAATTGCTGGTAATTAGAACTGAATTTAGAAATAGTTTTGAAACAAATCTTTGTGCTTTAACTAATTAAAATATGTAGGCTTATAGATGTCTTCAGTGGAATGCATACATCGTTTCCTTAACCACGAAAGCTAAGAAGTAAAAAGTAAAAGTAAAGAGAAAGTAAGAGGCCGAATGGAGGAGGCTCGTTCTTTATCCTTCTGCAGATGGTCTGTTTAACAGTTTTTTCGCTAGTGAAGTAGTTAAAGCAATCTTCTTTTGTGCAAAGAAAACACATCTTTATGATGAAATGATACATCTTTCTGAGAAAAAACAAACTCTTTTAAAAGCACTTGAGGGTGAGTACATTTTCATTTGTGGGTGCACTATCCCTTTAAGATTTCAGCAACTTGTGTAGTATTTCCATTTTTTTTTTATTATACGTTTTTATAAATTATTATAGGAGTTTTAGTTACATCATTACATCAAGGTAAACAAAACAAATGACAAATAAACCACATTAATCTCAGAACAATAATAAATAAATAAATATGCTGCCTAAAAGTTAAAAAACGAAAAACATTAAAATCTAGAAGTTAATGTATATGATTTTATATATTTTTATTGTTGTTTTTAACTTCAGTCTTCTATTATCTATTTAGGTCACACTTCAGTTTATGATACAAATCTCACTTTTAACAAGAGATTAGCTTTGCCTTAGCTTCAATCAGTGTAAAGGGAAATTACTTTTCAAAGTAATCCATTACAATATTGAGTTACTCGCCAAAAAAGTAATTAGTTACATTATGTAGTTACTTTTCATGGAAAGTAACGAGTTACCTTATCTTAGAGTTACTTCTTTATACCTGCCTGAGGCTTGATCTCTTTCAGAACTTATTTTTATTTATTTATTTTTTTAATAGAGGAGCTCTGCATTTAACAGCACACTGTATAACCCACACCTTCATTTCCCCTTAAAAAAAAAAAAAAAATTATACCTGATGTCACCTTCTGAGAACTTCCTGACGCCATACATGCTGTAAATACAGATTAATGAAAGTTGAAAGCAATACGTTTGCTACTTTTGTATTTTTGTCTTATTAGTCCAGTAAAATCACAGTCCATTGAGATTATAATCCTCTTTTCTTCCATGTTTTCAGAATTATGAGAATACTTCCGTCACAGAAATGAAATGCATAGCTCTGCCCTCCGGTTTCTGTCTGTTCCGGCAAGGAGCTCATTTTGAAACATGATTATACTCATTTTAATTGAAATATTTTTTAAAAGCAAATTAAATTATCTAAAGATTAACTCAAGTTACATTAAAAAAAAAAAGTAACTTAAATATTAATACTTTTTTTAAGTACTATGTTACTTGTTACTTAGAAAAGTAATATTATTACATAACTTGTGTTACTTGTAATGTGTTTCCCCCAAGACTGGCCTCAAAGTATTAATGTGTTGCTTATTAATGATTATTAAGGTAGAGATTGGGTTAAAGTATTAGGTAGGATTAGAAATGAAGAGTTCAGATGCAAAACCCTCTAAATCCATCAGACCTCTTTTCTTGTAAATAAGCATTTTCAATCAGGCTTCTCTGATTAGGTTCAGAAGTTTCATTTTATATGTAATGATAAGGTTATTAGCTGGTAAATAAAATACCTTTTTCCAAAAAATGTCACTTTAGACAATTCTTTGTTTTTCAACAAGGTAGATTTTCTTCTGCGTCAAAACTTGCTAAATCCACTTGTGCTTTTTTAGCAAAAAACTCTAAATCCACCTTTCGAGACAAGACAGTGTAACTAGCTGAAAATCACTAAAGATGCGATTAGAAATTATTTTACCAAACATAAAACACATCACACAAACCAACTGAAATACATAAATCTGTTAAATAGGTGGCGGTTCATTCCGCTGTGGTGACCCCTGATAAACCAGGGAAAAAGCAGAAGGAAAATAGATGAATGAATGAAATCTGTAAAGAAAGTGCATCGTTCAATAACATCACAACTGACATGAATTAAATCTTAGCAATCTGTTGTCCTTTCTGATATTTGTAAACATTGCAAACATTGTAAGCTAAGCTAGGTAGATTCAAATAATGTAGTGTAAAACATCATGAAACATCTGTGCATTGTCCTTTAATATAAAAAGCTAATCAGACGTATAAGTAATATGAAGTAGGCTAATATAAATGTAGAGTTTTATACACTATACTTATCTTAAAAAAAAAAAAAAAAGCTTAATTAGCAAATTAAACACAAGGTAGACCTACTGGGTAAAAGGGGGCTCTCAGACACTTTTAGAAGCTGTCATTTATTAATTCATTGATTCTCTCCATACTTAAAGTCTTGGTCCCGTGTTTATCCTTATGGCATACATGCGGGATAAAAGAACGCCATCTTAACTCTTTCGTGAGATGGAGTTGCCGTTCAATGTATAGTAAATCGGGCTCATTCAAAGTAGCGTCACTACACAAAAAACATTATGAATGCATGTTACACTTCCGACTATACATTGTGTTTACTTTTACTTATAATGCAGAGAGTTTTGAGGTAAGGAACGTCTTCATTTGCCATTCACTGACAGTCCTACGGTCTCATCCAGTTCATTAAACTACATCTTTTAAAATCAAAATCGAAATAAAACAGTCTCCTCATAAAAGCCGGCGCATCAGCACGCTGATCCATTGAAAACATGATTCGATTCGTGCTTCTGATTGGTTCTCGAGACATAGCGGCTTTTACTGTCAAAGGCAAGTGGTGTTTAGCAGCTTTTGTCAACAAACTGTTATTTCTGAATGCGCTGGGATTTAGATGATGAGAAGCAAATCTATTTGTTGATGATGTAGTAGGTGCCTAAAGCATTCGCTCAATCTCATTATCTCATTTTTGGAAGTGACGTTTATCGGCTTTTGCATCTGAACTCTTCAAATATTGAATAAGTTCATGCAGAATTTTTGCTTTATATCTTTAAATAAACAGCCTTACATCATCTTAATATTAAGCCACTAGTTAATTGGGAGAATTGGTCCTCTTGATCAATTTGAATAGTCAAGTTACCTTACTTACTTTCTATAGCGTTTTACAATAGTGGATTTTGGATAGTGTCACATCATTAAAGCTTTACCTCCATTTAGTTTTTATTATTTTATGATCAAGTTAAACTAAATAAAACAATTTCTTTACAATGAGCTGACATAAAATCTTCGCTATTTGACAGGATTAACAACTACTTACTGATAATAGATGTAAAAGCTGTCAGATTGATGAATATTGTTTAATATGTTAACTGCGCTATTTTGATCATGTGCACAGAGCACCGCAGCTATAGTTAGTACATTTACATTTAGTCATTTGGCGTTGTAATTTAGTCCAAAGCAACTTACGATCGAGGAGACATTTAGCAAATCAACACGAAGAGGCAATACCCACAACAAGTGCTGATTATACAAAGGAACTGTTAGTGCTAGTGTAAGTCAGTAAAGGGCAGAGTAATCGAAGCAGCCATGTTCACCTTCATTCTTGCGGGATTTGACGAGTGTGACTTTGGCTGGCCGTGGGGGGAGGTTGGAGGACACAGAGTGGCGGTCCGAGCGCGGGGACAGACTCCTCTCTCTGGAGCCGCTGCGCTCTCTGTCCCGCTCCCTCCTCCCACTCAGCCTGTCGCCTCTGCCGCTCCTCCGTCCCGAGGCTCCTCCACCTCCGCCGCCGCCTCCACCTCCACTGTAGGCGCTGGGTCCGCTTCGCGCGCTCCGGGACTCGTAGATCTCATCCTCGTAGCTGTCGTCGTCCTCGTCATGCTCTGACATAGTCTCGCGTTCACCCGGCCGGCCTGACGGGATCTGCACCTTACGCTTTCTCCTGATGGTCTGAATCGGAAACGATAATCAGCGACAATCTTTATGTCTTTGAAAATCTAAAGTCTGATATCTTATTATTCTTGTCATTTAATTTCATCTTAAGATATATTTTCGTTTGGTATTTTACATATGCAACTTTCCCCACTCAAATGTTTCCTGCTATTTTGATTCTACTTTGCATGCTATCGTTCAGTCTAGGGCTGGGCGATTTTTCCGATTTTTCCGATTAATTCGAATTTACGTTTTCAGACGATTTAATTTTGAATCAAATCGTGAAATCGCAATTTTTTTCAAAAATATATTTAATACATTACAATGGAACCAATGCGCTTTGGTTCACTCTCTTTATGAAGCAGGAAGCACACCAGAAGCGCCTTTCGGCGACCCGCCGCGCAACACAATGCAGCGCAATGGATTTTAGAATTCTAAACCGGTTTCTATACACACACACCGGCGCCGCCCAGCCACGATTCATGAAGTAGTTCATATTTCAGCCGTGCCATCTGATTAGTTTTATGTTAAATATCATGCGAAGGTGCGCGTTTGGTGTGTGATAGTTTAAACTCATGTGCGCGCCGTGTCGTGACGCTTCTGGTGTGCGACCTGCTTGACTGCCTGTTAAAGTAAGAAGTCATGTAGGATTTTACTTGTTGCATTAGTCCGAGTCACATCTGTGTGGATTGTCAAGACATATTCCCTCATCAAGTCGATAAACTCGATCTCAACATGTATAAAGGACGTAAAAGCCTGCCATGTGAAAAAACGCGCCAATCTTTTGGTTTGAACACGAGCAGAGGCGGGGGCCTGTAGCAATGAAAATGAAAGTACCCGCCCTCATGACGTCATTTAGCGGACCTAGTTGAAAACCAGACAGATCAGGCATCATAATACACAGAGTGGAGCAAAGTGCATCAAATGATCGGTATTTAAAAGGGGGAAAAGAAAAATAGATTAAATATATTATTTTATATTAAACACACATCTGGTACTTGTATTTGCTCCTGCTATACTACCACAACTTCACACGTTGGGTTAAATTAGGCTTTACAGTTTCCATGTTCAGTCCTTTTCTTCCACTTTATCTTTTTAAGAAAAAGGCAGCAGCATTACAACCTGTCATTCAATCAGAAGACAAAGTCAAAGCTGAGCTGACAGCCAATCTTTCCTAGGCTCAGCAAAACTTGCGAAAAATACTACTATGCCTGCACATGCAATATTTACACAAATATTTCTTATTCAAATCTTCAGCAACGATATTTAACTCGTAAATTTGTTTTACATTTATTTACACCTTGACCGATTTTTGTATGACATGGCCATTAAAAATACAATGTTCCTTAACCAGATGGTTTTTCAAGTTACTTTCAAAGAGAGTGTTACTTCAGTCATGTTGTTGTAATGTTTTGAGAAGACTAGTAACACAATAAAAAAAAAAAAAAAAAAAAAATCGAAATCGTGAATCGGTCAAACTATAAAAAAAACCTAGTTTTTTTTTTTTTGCCAAATCGCCCAGCCCTAGTTCAGTCATATGCTAATTTGACACATTAGGAATGATGTACTGTTTGCCATACTATTTGCCATATCTCATACTAAAAAGACCTACTATTTTTGCATTCTTGCCACTTTTGCGGAGCTGCTGCACTGCGTAAGCGTGATCCACATTGTCCATGGAGACGGCGTTGACCATCACCACTCTGTCATTCTCCCTGCCGAGGGCAAAAAGAGCAGAAAACAGTAAGCAAAAGTGCCACTCCAACTGACTCAACGCCTGATCAGCAGCTCTGTGCACTCATGCGTTCACACACCATAACACACTCACAAGCAGCTTTCAGACAAACGCATGACAAAACCCATCAACTAGACAATGCTGTGTTACACAGTATAATCAGCTGATTACATCTTTGGGTGCTTTCACATCTGTAGTCCGCTTCATTTGGTCCGGACCAAGAGCAATAAACGATACATTCTTGGGGTCTTTGGGTCGTTTTCACACCACACTGATTGCTTTGGTCCCAACCAGATGAAAAGAACCAAAATGCACTCATCTGACAAAATCCACTCATTGGCCAGATGTTGTTAAATGAATTGCCTGAACTGCTTTTCGATTGGTCAGAATTCACGTGCGGGAAAATGCCAATGGAACTCTCGCAAGTAAACAAACCGGCAGACACAAAATGTCGCTGGAGATACAAGTGTGTTGGCTGATCATATCCCCTGCTCATAGTATACTACATAGTTTGTATACATCACTTTAGACAAATTATACATTGAGAATGAAGTCACTTCGGGAGGAGAAGTGAATTAATTCTGCTAAACTGCGACATGGTCATCTTGCAGTAATATTACCAACGATCAATTCAATTAATGTTTTTCCCTCTCTCTCTCTCTGTTGGTAAAACGCTGCCAACAAATATTTTTCCTCCACATCCCATAATGCACAGCGCATCGGCCTACGGCAGCTGGATTAGTCCACAAAGGTGCAGTATTGTTTGCGGTTGGGTCTGTTTTAGTTCAGATCATATTCTCACCACAAACAAACCGCTCCAGGGTTAATCTGAAAGCGTAACGAGACCACCTCTTCAAGAAGGTCTCTGTACGCTTTTTTGGTCCGATTTTGGTGTCTACTATAGTATGATTGCTGCATACACCTCTCTAAATGAACCGCACCAAGAGGGAAAACAAACTAGTGATATTCAACCGAACTAAATAAGGCAGGTGTGAAAGCACCCTTTGCGTAAAATTGTGTCAAACAATTAAAGCATTGTGAAAAAGAAAGAAAAAACTCTGTATTTGTCAATAAATTGTCAAAACTAAAAAATAAACCTGAAACTGAATTTAAATTCATTTTCTTTTAATACAAATCCAAATTTGTAATATGTATATTTTTTTTAATGAATGGTTCATAAAGATGTTCATGTTTATGACTCCATAAAGAATCAAATGATAATAATAATCCACGTTAAGATACAAACTTTTTTTTTTACACTTTATATATTTATATAGTTAAAGTCAAAATTATTAGCACCCAATTCAATTTTTTTTCTTTTTTAAATATTTCCCAAATGATGTTTAACAGAGCAAGGAACTTTTCACAGTATGTCTGATAATGTTTTTTTGTATTTAGAAAGTCTTATCTGTTTTATATCAGCTAGAATAAAAGCAGTTTTAAATTTTTTAAAAACATTTTAAGGTCAAAATTATTAGCCCCTTTAATCTAGATTTTTTTCACTAGTCTACAGAACAAACCATCATTACACAATAACTTTCCTAATTACCCTAACCTGCCTAGTTAACCTAATTAACCTAGTTAAGCCTTTAAATGTCACTTTAAGCTGTATAGAAGTGTCTTGAAAAATGTCTAGTCAAATATTATTTACTGTCATCATGGCAAAGATAAAATAAATCAGTTATTAGAGATGAGTTATTAAAATGATTATGTTTAGAAATGTGTTGAAAAAATCTTCTCTCCGTAAAACAGAAATTAGGGGAAAAATAAACATGTGGTCTAATAATTCAGGGGGGCTAATAATTCTGACTTCAACTGTGTATATATGTATATATATGTATATATATATATATATATATATATATATATATTTCTTTATCTAATCAGATTAAAAAAAAAACATTGAGATCAAGATCTCATTTACAAGGGTGACCTGGCCAACAGGTCTGCAACACACGACTTTTATATTTTATATTATATTTAATGAATATTGTGTCTGACTTTATCATGAGCTTGGAGGACTGCATCCATACATCTCTACAATGACTCAAATCACTTATTAAAGTCATCTGGAATGGCAAAGAAAGCGTTCCTGCAGGACTCCCAGAGTTCATCAAGAGTCTTTGAATTCATCTTCAATGCCTCCTCCTCATCTTACCCCAAGACATGCTCAATAATGTTCATGCCTGGTGACTGGGCTGGCCAATCCTGGAGCACCTTGACCTTCTCTGCCTACAGGAACTTTGATGTGGAGGCTGAAGTTTGAGAAGGAGCGCTAACCTGCTAAGGAATTCGCCCTCTCCTGTGGTTTGTAATGTAATGGGCAGCACAAATGTCTTGATACTCAGGCTGTTGATGTTGCCATCCACTCTGCAGATCTCTCGCACTGAATATAACTCCACACCATGATTTTTCCTTCACCAAACTTGACTGATTTCTATGAGAATCTTGGGTCCATGCGGGTTCCAGTAGGTCTTCTGCAGTATCGTGATGATTGGGATGCAGCTCAACAGTTCAAAATTCTACCTTCTGCCACTTTTTTAAATGATCAGCTATATATGCTCTTACAACTGGGATTGAGGACAAGACTTTTGTCAGGTAGTGTATATTTAAATTAAATTATTATTTTATTTATTTATCATACAATTACAAGAAAACTTCCCTTCACTTGCATGCACTGTATTGTTTTTAATGTATAAAAGCCTTTAAAAAGTTAAAAGTACTTTAACTGCTTAAACTAGTAAAGCATTCTCAGTTATAGCGAGTATGTGATCAGTCTTACTGCAGCAGGCCCTCGGCGGGGCCTCCCTTCAGCACATCTGATATGACGATGGACGTCTCCCCGCTCTGGAAGTGAGGGTTGTCCCGTCCGCCGGAGATGGCGATCCCGAAGCCAAACCCTGGAGCCTGTCAGAAACACAGATGCAGGTTAACAAACAGCAGAGAGAGAATGAAGAGATAAAGGAGGAGATGTGATGGTCAGAGAGATACAGAGAGAAGGGCAGAGCAGATAGAAAGACCTTATCAAAGAGATAAAGAGCAGAAAAACAACATGCTAACCTGCGCGCGCGCGCACACACACACACACACACACACACACACACACACACACACACACACACACACACACACACACACACACACACACACACACACACACAGCTGAATGAATGCTCTACTTGGTCAGGTCTAACAAGCTAGTAATGCACAGTGGCGCAGTGGGTAGCACGATCGCCACACAGTAAGAAGGTCGCTGGTTCGAGCCTCGGCTGGATCAGTTGGTGTTTCTGTGTGGAGTTTGCATGTTCTCCCCATGTTCGCGTGGGTTTCCTCCGGTTTCCCCCACAAGTCCAAAGACATGTGGTACAGGTGAATTGGGTAGGCTAAATTGTCCGTAGTGTATGTGTGTGAATGAGTGTGTATGGGTGTTTCCCAGAGATGGGCTGGAAGGGCATCCGCTGCGTAAAACATATTCTGGATAAGTTGGTGGTTCATTCTGCTGTGGCGACCCCTGATTAATAAAGGGACTAAGCCAAAAAGAAAACGAATGAGTGAATGGATTGGTCAGTTTCAGTTAAAAGCTTATGGTTGCATTTCTAGTAGGTTGTACATTTAGCTTTTATCACTACATTAATGTTTAGTACTGCATTAGATTATGGCTGTGCATTATGACAATATACAGAATTATTAGCCCTCCTCTATATATTTGTATACAATTTCTGTTTAACAGAAGAAAAGCTTTTCAACACATTTCTAAACATAACACATCTGTTATAATTAGTTTTTTAGTCACGGATTGGACCATTTTTCGAATCAGAAAATAAGGGGAGAAGACAAATGTATTTTGCTTTCCATTTATTACTAAAACAGCACTGCAAGACACTTTCGGTTTTAGCAAACAGAACTTATAAGCTATAATTTTAATACAAATAAAATGAAGAAATAATTCGCTGAATAAAAATAAATTTTAAAATATTCTGTGCTAACATTATCTAACATTATAATTTGTACAACCAATATTAATTTTTAGTCTCATTTTCAATAAGTGATTCAGTTATTCACTTATAAAGCTTCATGTTTCGTTGCTCGATGTGTTCAAAGAATTTTTCAGTGTCATATTTTTGGTGGCTGGTTGTCGCCACCTATTGCTTAAATAATGTAATTGCTGCCTACATCGTTCATTTTTTTAGCAATAAGTTAAATACATGGTTTCCGCTAGTCATTCTTCCATGGCGGGGCGTCACACCAAAATTCATCCCGCCACGGCTACATTCCAGCTTCTCATTCAAAACATTCAGCCATTGTTGTTGTTTTTAATAGCACGTAATAATCGCACCACACCTTATTAAAGGCAAGTAAATTATAACAGCACAAACTTTTCTGTAATAAGTATTGCTGTGGGTTATTTGTTTAACCCTTTGAGGTTACGTGCTGACAGACTGACTGACAGGTACATGATGCGTGATGCTAGCAAACACAACGTAGCTTTCAGTTAGGGTGAACAGTTTCCATAATTTAAATTTATTTACAGATAAAGGTCTGTGATTCTGCTTAGAATTGAAGTTGATAGCCGTTTCACTTTACCTCAAGATGCATTAATGCCGCTCTGTAGGTCTACTGGAGACATTTATAAATATTCCAACCAATCTAATAAATGCTGGAGACATACTCACTACATAAACGCACTAAATCGCATTTCAGCAGCGTTTATTTTAGAGCGCACAAGAAGATCTGCGCTTGTGCAGCGTACATTTTTGCAAGAGGTTTTGTGCACGAGGAAATCGGCGTACGATTTGCATGCTTATATTGCATAAATGCGATCTCGACTTGTGATACTGCGCTCACGCCATTTCTCCATTTGTCATTGAAATAATGCCATAAGTAGTTGGTAGATTTGTGTAAAAGGTCTGCCGCCACAGCTGGAAAAAATCCTAGAGGAAACACTGAAATGCATATGACTGTAATTTAATCTTTACAGTAAACATCAGTGGGTTTTATCCAAACTATTAACTGTTATCTCAGTAATTCTGTGTTATTTAACTGTTTGTAAACTGAAGGCTGAATCTCTTCCTTGATTTTTGCATATTTCAAACACAGATTTGAACGCAGCGATTCAAAGGATTAATAAACATATGCAAATTGCTTATAATTTACATTGCTTGGGTGTTGTGATACTGATCTTTTAATGACGTGAGAAGTGATCGCTGCAAATGTTAAAAATGTAGTATTAATCTACAAGTAAAAAAAAAAAGTATTAACCCGCAGGTCATGCGTGTTCTGAACCGTATCTCTCTACTTAATTCACTTTTCTCTTTGCTCCATCTTATTTAATTATTCCTGCAACTTTGTTGATTCACTCCTCTTAAAGATTATTCGAATCAAAGTTAATGATTTTATTCCAAATAAAGCTCTTCAAGTCATCTGCCAAAACTGCATTCATATTGCAATAAAAATCGTAGTAAAATAAAATATTGCAATGTCTGAATTTTTCAATATAGTGCAGCCCTACTTAAGATGTTTTTAACAGCAAGTGAAACCCAAGAGAGAGAAAAATTAGGCAATTTCCTAAATATATATTTCACAGATCACACCGAAAGTGTGAGAAGGATCTGCTCTGGGACTCCAAACACACAAAAATAACAGAGATCGGAAAAAAAAAGTGAAATTCTCACCCTGTGTAGAGTTACAGTGTGCTGTTCCCATATTACCGTCTCATCCATTGCTGCACTCTGCATTGAAGAAAAAACACACAGAAAGAAGGAAAGAGATTAATAGAGAAACACACAAATCGTTAGATTAACATCAACAGCTTTAATTGGTTACATTCCCACACGGCCTGAAGGATGCAGAAGCATTCATTAAAATCAAGCGAGCTTGCGCACACATTCACAAATGAAAGAGTTTCAGCACTTAAAATGCGTTCGGAAAATCCTCCAGAGTGTAAACGAACTTCCCACACGTTCTCAAGCGGAGATTCGCAAATGATGTAATGCTAAACAGACGAGGAAACGGCAGAGGTGCTGAAAGCTCATGCTAGGGGCTTATTCATGTTGTTCTCCATGGCTTCTGCAATGCAGTGACTGTGAACAGAGGCTCGACACAGTGTCACAACAACAACACCAGCTGTGTGTGTGTGTGTGTGCATGCTCCTCTACATTCACCCAGGTCTCAGCTTTTATTACCTTAAATAAAACTAAATAAAAAAATCTAAATAAAATGACAAACTAACTGTAAAGATTTATAGAATTGTGTTTAGGTTTATGTTTAATTACTTTTTTCTTCCAAATATATTATTGGATTTTGTTTGAATTTCAAAACAAAATATAGGGGGAAGGGGAAATTATTTTTTTATTACTTATAGTAATTATTATTATTTTTTAAAAATATTTAAAACATTTTCAAAAATACATGTATTTACCTTGTTACAAAACAAAGGGTTAATAAAATACAAACTCATAAACATTGGAATTTTAGGAATCAAACAAACAATTAAAACAGCAAAACGTAAAACGGATAAATATATGGTAAAATCAAATAATAATAATAATACAAAATAATAATTAAAAATAAATAGAAAATGTAAATAAAAAAATAATAATAATATATATATATATATATATATATATATATATATATATATATATATATATATATATATATATATATATATATATAATTATTATTTTTTTTTATGTTAAAAAGCGAACAAAAAGTGCTCAGGGGTGGTTTAATAATGTGTCTGTGCACTTTGGGCAAGCAATTCATCAGAATAAACAGCAAAAATCTAACACTTATTAATGCAGAGTTGATACTTAAATAATGAATTAACGAGATGCTAATGCTTAATAAATGATTCATAGTGTGTAGTGATTATAGTAAGTGTTACCATAACTCTTTTTCATTGAGTCAAACTAACCTCGTAAACAATTATAAGGTAAACTAACTTAATTCATTTAGTGATTTTGACTGTTAGCCTTTTCAGTGCACAAGAGCAGCATTTATAAAATCCACATTACAACAAACAGCTCTGGATGCTGTTAGTTGCATTTAATTATACTAAATGACTAAATGTGATGCTCAAACTTTACATCGCATCTTAATCAGACAGTGAAGATCACTGGCTTTAAATAAACCAGATCTCAAACGTGGTGAGTTTATAATGGCTTAGTTGAAACGAATAGTCTCTGTGCATATAACCCTATTAATAACTTCATGCATGACGAGAACAGCATTTACAGAATCCACATTACAACATACAGCTCTGGTCTCTCAAAAGCAGAGGGTTTTTCTAGAAACTGCGATGAGAGCCTGATGGCCTTCAGTGTGAAGCCTGAGCGATTGCCTTTTGACCTCACCGTGAGAGACGGAGGATGAATGACGTTCCTGTGTCACATCTTCACCAGCTCCCAGATCAAGTCTCAGTCCATCCGTCTAATACCTTTGACCTTACAGATAATAACTTCACAGCGATTCCCTTCTCGCTACATCTTGTTAGCGCACAGCTAGTTAAACAGTTCTACTTCATTCTGACAGCAAGAGTTATGGTTTGCGGGTCTTGCCAAGGCTAAGAAACGGCTGTAACTCGACCGCCGTCTGATCCCTTTAATCTCAACCGCGTTTTATAAAGCACTGGTGAATTCACAAGATTAAGTAGATTTGGTTGGACTAGCAGGCTAATCTGACCAAATGAAGTCTGTCGACGGGAGAGACTCATTAGTAAACTCTTGCAGAGAGTGAGGATATATACTTGGGTTAGAGACAAGATGTATTATTAAATTTACATGTGAAAGCCAGTTCAAGTGTTTGCTTATTGTAATTCTACTTACAGCAACCAAAGTATTAATGTAAAATAGAAGCACCCCTTTTTTATTGTTAAATAAATAAATAGAAATACAAAATTAAATTGGGAAAATAAAAGATATTATTAAAGTACATTAGGTCTGGCCAAAAATAATTTAAAATACATTGGTTGACAATTCAACACTGATTTTTAAAAGTCATGGGCTGCATCCGAAACCACCTACAGTAGGTACTGCATTTGAATTTAAACGTGCTACCCGTTAGAAAAGTACGAAGTATGAATGTGAAAAGTATGAATGGAATTCGGATGTACTACATCCGCTATTTCGTCATGGTCACATGACCTACCTGCTTCAGTTGCGTCGCTTTACTTCCATTCATGAATTCTCTCGCTGGGCATTATGGGATAGCGCAGCGTGCATGGGATGCGCACTTCAGAATCTCGCCGGAAGTAGTAAGTCATCCGGATACTTCTCGCATACTGATTTTCGAATTCTATGAATTCGGACACACTACTCGGCTCGCATACTGATTTTAGCGTACTATATAGTATGAAAGTATGCAGTTTCGGACGCAGCCAGGTTTTCTATATTCCATAATCTTACTAATCTACACTACTACAGAATAAACAAACTTGTTTTGATGTGTGCTTATGGAAACACAAAATAGTAAGTGATGATATGGTATTTTTATTTTATTATTGTTGACAAATCTTTTGAAAGATTGATAATTATCATGAATTTGTATCTTGGAGCTGCTCTGTGATTGTTTTAATATGTCATCAAACAATTCTAGTTCTAAATGTGGCTGACAGCATTTCAGTCGTGATGGTCAGCTTTTACTCTGCTCTGAAACAACATAATTAAGCAGGAAATATTGTAATGTAGAAAACAAAATAAAATCTGCACTAAACAAATGTTGTTTGGATACTTAAAAGAACCCTTTTCATCTTTAACCCAACTTGTTAAACTGCTAATTACAATTATTTCACTTACACAGTTGAAGTCAGAATTATTAGCCTCCCCTGAATTATGAGCCACCCTGTTTATTTTTTTCCCAAATTTCTGTTTAATGGAGAGAAGATTTTTTTCAACACATTTCTAAGTTTTAATAACTCATCTCTAATAACTGATTTATTTTATCTTTGCCATGATGGCAGTAAATAATATTTGACTAGATATTTTTCAAGACACTTCTATACAGCTTAAAGTGACATTTAAAGGCTTAACTAGGTTAATTAGGTTAACTAGGCAGGTTAGGGTAATTAGGCAAGTTATTGTATAATGATGGCTTGTTCTGCAGACTCAAGGGGCTAATAGTTTTGACCTTAAAATGGTGTTGAAAAAATTAAAAACTGCTTTTATTCTAGCTAAAATAAAACAAAAAAAGACTTTCTCCAGAAGGAAAAATATTATCAGACATACTATGGAAATTTACTTGCTCCGTTAAACATCATTTGGGAAATATTTTAAAAAGAAAGAAAATTCAAAAAGGGGCTAATAATTCTGACTTCAACTGTATGTCAAAACGAATGAAATTGAAAAACTGGCATTATTTATACATAGGACAATTTCAAGACAATATTATTGTATCTACTTATTTTTCACTTTTTCATGCGTTCAGGAAAGATCTGTGTCAACTGAGATGAATTAATTTATTAACTTCACATGTGTGTTTATTTTCAAAGTGTAGGATTGTATGTGTTCCCCAGTTTGTACATGGGTTACCAGCAGCTGTGAGATTTTACTGTTACTTTTTTATACAATACACTAGGAACTAGTGTACTTTTCTTGACTTTTAAGTAAAACAAAATGAATATAGCAATAAATCGTTTTTATTCTTTTCTCCTTAACCTCTTACTGTTCCTATTGCCTATTGAATAAAAAAAAAAAACACACGTGTCAAGCCATGAGAATCGAACAGTGTTAAAAAAAACCGAGGTATGTATTGAACCATGAGCTAACTGTATTGTTGCATCCCTACTCTACATGGTATATATCTGCAGCCTCCACAAATGCAGGATAAAATACAACATCAACAGAAAGATCTGACGTTTCTCCTCTTATAACGTCAGCAAACAGACAATTTGACAATTATGGCATAATGAAACATGACTGACGGACTGTGAATTAAACTAAAACCCAGCGCAGATGCTGAGACAGAAGTAAGAGGGAGGGATGAGAGGGAGGAGAGGGAATACGAGGGCAGTGCGTTGTGGGAAATGTGCTGACCTACGGGACAATTACTGCAAGCTCAACCCTTCACCTGTGCCCTGCATGGCAATGAGGAGCTGCTCCGATCGATTGCGTCTATTAACATATCCTGCATCTTTCCAAACGCTTGTTAAAGACACAGCTACTCTCAGAGGGACAGTCGTGCTGGCCTCTTACTGAGGTGTCAAATGGAAATGGAAGCTAGATAAGGTTATACGAAAAGCAATGGCATCAACTGACCTTAAACGCTGTAGATCCAATGCCACCTAGACATTCAAGTGCTCAAATGGGAATAAACGTAAAACTACAATTTCTCTTAGAAAGATTTAGCTTAGCATGATAACTGTTATTACGGATAACTGATATTTAGATAGAGATTTGTTACTATCCCCATGAAATCTCCATTTACAACGTTTTACAAGAGCAAATTGTTAGTCTTAAATCTGACTTATATTCTGTGTTGAGTGATTGTGGTACCTCACATGCCTCGCATGCATTATCGCTGTGTTTATACTTGTGCGCTAATAGTCAGTAGCTATGTTTCCAATCGAAACTGGATTATCGCATAAAAGAAGTGCAAATAAAGCAGCGTTTCCATCCAACAAGTCAAAGCAAACAAAGTAATCACTTCCTGATTATCTGCCGCCAAATATCAACAGTAAAAACGTAACTTGCTGCGGTAGGAGAAGCTGCGTGAATCTTTTCATCATTTAATA